AGTGCAGTTGGAAAAATTGTTTGTAAATGGGTTGGTGGCAGATGTGAAAATACCATTGCGTGCTTGTTTACGCCGTTCAGCTGAAAACATTGCTGCAGTGCACGAGAATGTGGCCAAAAATCCAGACACCTCTCTTCATCATCGCGCGCAGGAATTGAACCTTTCCACAACAACATTGTTTCCAATTGCACTCTCAGTTGGTCGATTATGTTGACCAAAATAAAATAAAATAAAACAAAAGTAAAAAAATCGCAAAGTGCGAGAAATGAATTTGTTTGAACGTCCATTTTCATAATAGATTTCGATAAGTTTAACACATTGTTTGATTGTTAATCTTTCCATGGTTGAAATTGCCAAAGATTTTAGTTGCTAAATTTGAAATTCGTCCTAGTTATTGGAACACCCTTTATTTATAGTAATTATAAACGTTATCATTGTGTGTGTGTGTGTGTGTGTGTGTATCACAGATAATGAGAGGGGAACAAAGAGAGAGGGACAGAGTGAAACACACACACAGAGAGAGAGAGAGAGAGAGAAAGATAGGAAGATAAAAAAAATGACACCGAATGGGAGTGAAGGGGGGTGTCATCTTAGATAAAGGTAGTTTGTAGTGAGGGGGTTAAATCATATTTCAATGACAAAGACAAATTTGTCCCTGACGTGCAACTGACCTTTTGAAATCAAAAATTGAGAACAGGTTTGGAAATAATGAATAAACATACAGTGATGATTTTTGAGTTTGAATTCTTCCTAAGAACCAATTTATCCTTGATCCCCATCACAGAATATAGCTGTAATAAAAAGCTGCTAAACATTAAAATGAAAGTAAATTCAAATCAAAATTAATAATAATGCTTAATACTTCTCCAAACTTTTCATACTACAACTCAAATTTTCAGTACTCTGCCTTCTATCTATAATACCTGTGCAATAGATGAAATATAATACTTGAATGATTTTCTGCAAATGAATGCTTCCTACATGTCGGTAAATGTAGTATTTAAAGAAAACAAGTTTCTGAAATGTTGGATTAATCTAAGAGATTAAACATTACTAATAGGATTAAAATATTACTTTCAAAGAGATTTATTTATTTAACATCATTAAAAAAAAAAAAAAAAAAAAAAAACAACACACACAAAATCCTAAAGAAACTTTTTTAAAATATTTATTATTCAATTTTCAATATATCACATCATAACAGGTAAAATTTCATTTTATTAGAAAAAAAAAAAAAAAAAAAAAAAAAATTCATAAAGATGAAAAAATTTTTTTTTTTTTTCTCTAATGGATACTTTCTTTCTTTCCACACCAAATGCCACCTGCTTGTCAAATATCGAGCAACACAAACACACAAGTCGGAAATGCACCAACATGTGCAAAATTTTCTCTTGTAATTTGTCTATTTTGGGGGAGGGGATTTGAAGTGGGAGAGTTTATGTAGAATAAGTAGTATACTAAACACTTCTAGAGCCATTCCTGATTTCCCTGGCAATTCAAGAACTAACCTCAAGTGTCGCCAGCACCACAATGAAACTTTACAATCAAAGCTGAGAATTGGAAGAAGGAAAACTGGCACTCAAGATTGTCCCCACCTCCCAAAAAAATTATTCATTCAACTTGCTATTTCTCACGATAATTCATTTATATAAAGAAACGTCTTTGGCAGAATTTAGTAAGCAGCAAAGTATTTCAACTCCATTAAATTCATTCACCTTCCAAGTCGAGTAATTGCAAGAGAAAGAATTTGCTAATGTTTCTACTGTAATTTTAGTAAAAAGGCCTTCAATGTCTTTAAGCAGAGAGACAACTGTGTTTAAGTCCACTGACATCAGGTCTGATATTTCAGCCATAAAATGAAAGGAGTTGAAAAAGATTTCATAATCGCAACAGAATGGGGGGGGGGACAAAGACGGGCAAATCCCAGTGAAAAATCTGGAAAAATATGTTAACAATTAGAAAGCACACAGAATATTGTTAACAATCAAAGTTGGAAGGAGACCATGTTTCTTCGTATGAACTAGTTGTTTCTGTGAGCGAGATGAAAAATCCCAAACCAAATATTAAGCATTTCTTTCACGATCAATATGATCAGAGGTCACAATTTTGTGACTGCATCTGTATAAGTTTTGATTTAACCAAGAATCTTACAAATACAAGATAAAGGGTGGGAAGGGGGTTGGAAATGAAAGTTAACTTTTGATTTATAAAATTTACTTTTGTCACAGATGCACATGCTTTCCAACTCGAGTAAGATCTATACAAACAGGAATATGTTGACACAGTTCTAGTAACAAGGTAACTTCTTAATCCACTTAACAGTTCTAGATGAGCCACTGAAAGAAGTCAATAGCAATGAGTCACACTACAATCAGAGCAGCTCCAAGAGAATTCATATGCAAACAATAAATACCTTGTACTTTTTAAAGAAATGTTACCAGACAGTTTGCCCCTCAACATCCATCGGTGAAAGTGTTTAATGGCATAGACAGAACAAAACAGAAAATGGTTTGGTTTGTATGTCAGACCGAAACAAATAATCAGACAAGTCATTTGTTCAGCTATTCTACTCGGAAAAGTGATTTGAAAAAAAAGTTTTTGTTAAACTGATCAAGTTAACAAATATTCTGTGGTCTCTTCCCAAGCATTTCATTTTTTTTTTTGTCTTTTTAAACTCATTTCTTATTTTATTGAAAGACAGCTTTATGTAGGAGAGGAACGTGTCTATCACTGTAGCCAAGTAACAGAAAGATCTGGCTACTTGTAGATACACGGAAATCAGAGACAGTAGAAGTGTGGGATCTATTTAGAGTAGCTGACATCTGATTTTAGTTTCTCCAGATAAGGAAAAACAGGTTGAATATCCAACCGAATTGATCATGACAATGTTGTATGTGTTTACTAATTGAAATTTTAATATTTTGGTCTTGTCAGAAAATTACTGGATTTATTGCTGCATAGAAATTCATCTGACGTCGTTGGCTGACAGAAGAGCTAAGGAAGGCTGCTAACCAATATAACAGGTGAAAATGAGAAGTAAAAAAAAATTTTTTAAAATCCTTATTATTTGGTCTCGTCTCAAACAAGGCTAGAAAGATATAAGCCAAATAATGCACAGACTGTGTGTGCGTGCGTGCGTGCGTGTGTGTCCCCTGTCCACATATCATATGGAAGATGTAATTGCAGCACAGTCCCTGAGGATGGGTAATGGCCAAACGTGAAGGGCCAACAATTTGAAATTGATTTATGTGACAACAAAAACCTATCAGAACATCATCTAATCCAATAAGAATGTGGCTGGCAAATGTAGTTGTTGGAGGTTCAATATGAAAAAATAAATTTACCATATACACATACACACACTCGTAAGATATATATATATATATATATATATATATATATATATATATATGACTAAGTGGAAAGTTTTCATGTGACGCATTTTGTCCTTTAAGGCTTCATTGGACTAAGTTTGTTTATACTGATGCAACGACACACGTGCACAAATGTGAAATGCTGGTAATTTTAAAATGTAGGGAGGTGGGGCGTATTTGGGCAGCAACCCCTCTTTTATACAAGTTTCATTCAAAATGACTCACAAAGTACTGTGGTTAAGTTCATTAAATTTTTGTCTTATAATTTTCTTTTATGGACATAAATTATGTAGAAATTGTCACATATGTAAAACATTCAAACAATTTTGTCATAATTTACGTCCAGAAAAGAAGGAAATTATAAGAAACAAAGAAAAGTTAAATAAAAAAAAAATTAATCATAGTACCGTTTTAGTTGTTTTGAATGAAACGTGTGTGTGTATATATATATATATATATATATATATATATATATATATATATATATATATGTGTGTGTGTGTGTCTTTTGGGTGTATTCCCAGCATCTCTCATTTGTACACACATCTTGTCACATCAATGTAAACAAACAGTCCAATGAAAAAAATGCATCATGAAAAAAATTTTTCCCACTGTCATACATCTTTTCCCCAAAATTGTTCTTGATATATAAAAAAAATTATATATAATTATATATATATATATATATATATATATATATATATATATATATATATATATATATATATATATAAGGAATTATTTCTTCTTACTATAAACATTATATTTAGTGTATAGACATGTTTAAGTAGACATTCCTGTTTTGTTTAGCAATGTAAATTTACATTGACTGCACAGGTCGAGAGACATGAAGTTACACAATTTAAAAAGGGAAAAAAAAGAGGATGTCTACTCAAATGTGTGTATCCACTTAATAACATTTACACTCAGACGAAATACGTACACACAGAGTCTAGTTTTAAATGTAACAAGGTTAATGACTTCTCAATCATTTTTAATGTTTGAGCATCCTTTAAACAAAGTGAAGAATAAAAAAAATTGGGATTGAAATAACAGTAACAATGAAAAGTCAGAAGAAACCTGAGATTTGAAGAACAAAAATATCTAGAGAAATATCTAAACATATTGAAAATAAATTTTAAAAACCAAGAAGAAAAAAAAAAAAAAAAAATTGCTCATTAAAAACATTTTTTTTTACTTTTCCCTTCAGTTTAAAATTCAAATCTGTGAAGAATAACAATGATTTCATATTTACATTTTTTTTTTTTTTTTTTTTTTTAAGCAAATCTTTCTGCCTTGTTAGAGGAGAGGGGGGGGAGTAGGGGGGAAACAAGCAGCTCCCATGCTCATTCTTACCCATATGGACATGTCCTGCTTGTTTGTGTGTTGAACAAATGATTGCGTTGAGGCATAGGTGAAGATGGCTCAACTGAAAGATGCTCCATTTGGCCTCAGACAATTTGGTTGGAAAGAGACAGAGCGAAGAAACAAAAGATTCAATAACAAATTCAAAGTCCAGGGCAGGAGTTGGAAATTCTTTGCATTTTTCAGATATCAAACACTCAATTAAAAAAAAAATTAAAAAAAAAATTAAAAAAAAAATTTAAAAAAAAATTAAAAAAAAAATTAAAAGAGGAAGATAGAGAGAAAGGAAGAGAGAGGAGAGAATAGAGGATCAAAGGAAAAGAAAGAGATGTTGTTGCAAGTGATGTGTGCAAGTTGCACTCGAGATATTCTTGAAGAGTTAGAGTGTGGTGTGCAGCTTGATTGGTTGCACGCGGGCAAAGGCAGATGGTATTTTTCTCATTACAACAGTCATTAGTAGTAGTAGTAACATTAGTTCAAAGAGCAGAATTAGGAAAAGAGCCACAGACTCATCCTTTCGACTGCTTCTGAATATGTTGGATGAATTCATAATAGGACATTGTTGATTCTGTCCGATCTTCAACAAAATGCTGGAAAAACAAGTGTTTCCGTTTGCTGTCTTCCCTGGAAAACAAACAATAAAATGAATAATGAGAGAAAATAGCGAGAAAGAGAGAAGAGAAAATAAAGAGAGAGAGAAGAGAAAAAATAGAGAGAGAGAGAAGAGAAAATAAGAGAGAGAGAAGAGAAAAAGCTTAGAGAGAGAGAGAAGAGAAAAAAATAGAGAGAGAGAGAGAAGAGAAAAAAGCTAGAAAGAGAGAGAAGAGAAAATAAGTAGAAAGAGAGAGAAGAGAAAATAGCGAGAAAGAGAGAGAAGAGAAAATAGCGAGAAAGAGAGAGAAGAGAAAATAGCGAGAGAGAGAGAGAAGAGAAAATAGCGAGAGAGAGAGAGAAGAGAAAATAGCGAGAGAGAGAGAGAAGAGAAAATAGCGAGAGAGAAGAGAAAATAGCGAGAGAGAAGAGAAAATAGCGAGAGAGAGAAGAGAAAATAGCGAGAGAGAGAAGAGAAAATAGCGAGAGAGAGAAGAGAAAATAGCGAGAGAGAGAAGAGAAAATAGCGAGAGAGAGAGAAGAGAAAATAGCGAGAGAGAGAGAAGAGAAAATAGCGCGAGAGAGAGAAGAGAAAATAGCGAGAGAGAGAGAAGAGAAAATAGCGAGAGAGAAGAGAAAGTGAAAGAAAAATAAACAAAAAAAAATCTTTTTCTGCAACTTTCTGCCATTGGAAATGAGAAATAAACTGGCAGTCAGTTTCTTACCTCAAAATGATAAATGTGGTGCCATTAGGACGAGCATCCATTAAACTGTAGATAAATGTACGCACTCTTTCTGACATTGGGTTTTCTTTCTCAGGCAAAGTCGTCTGCAAATATAAGATAACAATTCTGTATAAAAATTCATAAATTCATAAAAATAAAAAAAATTTTTTTAAATTTTAAAAAAAATACACCACTCAAGTAAATCATGTTGTGTAGGGGTGAACATTAAACATTTTTAATTACAGCATTATGTTCAGTCAAATATTAGAAAGCAGCTAAACAGTCATTGGCGTCCGCTGCACCTATTTTTTTTTTTTTTGTGGTGGTGCTTTTAATTTTCCAATGCCTTATGTTAAGAATTTACAGTTAAAAATCTTAAATATAGAGTATACCAAGAGAAAAAAAAAGAAAAAATGTATCCATACTTTGAATGATCATAAAGATAGTATTTATTAAAATACATTTCATTTTCAAATCTGAATAGAGTCTACAGAAAAGTTTTTTTTTTTCAAAATCAAACTAATGGCCAGAAAAAAAAAAAAAAAAAAATGAAAATTAAATTAGTTATCAGCAGCTAAGAGGTGTATACATTTGTTGTGTGTGTATGTATGAAGTTTTAAGCTATTCAAAACAGAATTTCAAAGAATCAATAATTTGATTGACTTATCTAAGTTGCATTTAAATACTTAACATTATGTATGCTTGATTGGTGGTGGGAGGAGATAAAAAAATACGAGTGCTTTAAAGAAAGAAAAAATAAAAATGCTGCTCTCTTCCATATGGACTTTCATTGGAATAAATAAAAAGCATTTTTGAAGTATCCCATTTTAAAAGCCATTATGCCAAAATTAAATCTTAGTCAAAAGCTGCTTGCATTAATTCAACATGTCATTCCATCTTCAACATTGTCTCCACACGCCTCTCCAGGTTTCCTAGACTTGAAGAAAATTCCCTGTTAATTCCCTGAAAAATTCCACTTAAATTCCTTGATTTTGGGACAGCACATAATAGAGCAAAAGACAGTAGTCGGCATATAGCTGTAGCAGAACACTGCCTAAAAAGGAATGGCTGAAGAAACATTTTTATTCAAATGTTGCTTACCCTAGAAAACTAATATATATGTCACGTTTAGCATTTATTTTTAAACAATCTAAAAAGAAAAAAAATAGCATATAAATTACATTAGAAAATTCCTAGAGTTCACTGCTTTCCAGGTTGACCATGAACTCTGTTCTCTATCAGGTTACAAAGGTTGGGAATTTTGTAAATTAATAGTAGATACATTCAACTATCATCCATTTCACTCTCCTCCCAGGGCTTTTGAACAGAAGTAGATGTTTATATCTTGTTACCAGTTTCAGATTGGGTTTCTGGTACCTTATAAAGTTTTCTCATTCTTTTTCACTCCCAGTAGACCCCCCTTGCATCTTAGTGACATAATCACCTTGCTCGGGGTGAATTGATTTACCAAAAAAATAAAATAAAATTAACAACACTTCAACACCCGGGAGTTATATTGTGTCACAAAGATTTATATTACTATTTTTAGTGGATACCCATATTTGAGTAGACACAGTCTATTTACTAAACAGTCTATTTACTAAACAGTCTATTTACTAAACAGTCTATTTACTAAACAGTCTATTTACTAAACAGTCTATTTACTAAACAGTCTATTTACTAAACAGTCTATTTACTAAACAGTCTATTTACTAAACAGTCTATTTACTAAACAGTCTATTTACTAAACAGTCTATTTTAAACAGTCTATTTACTAAACAGTCTATTTACTAAACAGTCTATTTACTAAACAGTCTATTTACTAAACAGTCTATTTACTAAACAGTCTATTTACTAAACAGTCTATTTACTAAACAGTCTATTTACTAAACAGTCTATTTACTAAACAGTCTATTTACTAAACAGTCTATTTACTAAACAGTCTATTTACTAAACAGTCTATTTACTAAACAGTCTATTTACTAAACAGTCTATTTACTAAACAGTCTATTTACTAAACAGTCTATTTACTAAACAGTCTATTTACTAAACAGTCTATTTACTAAAACAGTCTATTTATTTACTAAACAGTCTATTTTAAACAGTCTAACTAAACAGTCTATTTACTAAACAGTCTATTTACTAAACAGTCTATTTACTAAACAGTCTATTTACTAAACAGTCTATTTACTAAACAGTCTATTTACTAAACAGTCTATTTACTAAACAGTCTATTTACTAAACAGTCTATTTACTAAACAGTCTATTTACTAAACAGTCTATTTACTAAAACAGTCTATTTACTAAAAGTCTATTTACTAAACAGTCTATTTACTAAACAGTCTATTTACTAAACAGTCTATTTACTAAACAGTCTATTTTAAACAGTCTAAACAGTCTATTTACTAAACAGTCTATTTACTAAACAGTCTATTTATCTACCAGCCTGAATATTCAAGAATAATTTAAAACATTGGAAGTGTGGCGGAAATGTCATGTTAGTGTCTCGTGACTGTATACATGTCATAAGTGAAAAATATTTCCTCGTTTTCACGCTTTAGCGTATCGTCATAGTGATATTGAGCTTTAATAAATATAATATATAAATAATTATACATATATATATATTTATATTTATATACACTTTTCACACACACACATATATATATATATATATATTGGTAGCCATATCTTAACTTTTGTAAGAGTCGGCTTAAGTTAGGTCATAACATTTTAACAACATATGCAGTACAATGTATGGCTCAAGCCATGCTGTATACATGTCTGGTTCTTCATTTTTTTTTTTTTTTTTTTCTTTTAATATATGTCATGTTGCAAAACTAGTCTATAGTTGATACAATTTCAACAGAACCATATAACTTGCCATTTGTTGATGCATTTCATAACCGATGATAGCATGGTATTGATATAAATAAAAAAAATTGTAACCTAAATTTTATCTTGAAATTTAACAGTGGAGGTGTTAGAAAATACTTAAATGTATTTTCAAACAGACATATGACAATAGTAATGTAAAAGAAGAAATTGTGTTCTTACCATTCCATCACAAAGTGAGGAGAAGTTAGGAACATCAAAAACATCTTGACAAAACTGATCACTGATGGCGCCCCCTACAAGCAAGACCATAGAATCAAGAGAGTCTAACAAGTAGGCACCATGTCTGTCAAGGTTGGCTGCTGTTAATTGAAGGATCGGTGCCCATGGCACATTGATACCATTTCGTTCTGTCATGTGCTACAAAAGAAAAGAAAATATGCAAGGCCAAGAACAAATTAATCAAGCCAAATAGGCCCTTTAAAAAGGGGCCCACACTGAAATGACTAAGCAATTTTATGTTTTGAGGAAGGTAAGCTTTAAAAAGGGACCAACATTGAAATGACTAAAGAATTTTATGTTTTGAGCAATGGGGAGTGGGAGCTTTAAAATAGAACCCATACTAAAATGACTAACCAATTTTATGATTTGAGGAGTGACAGCTTTAAAGAAAAAAAAAAAAAAAAGACCCATACTAAAATGACTAACCAATTTTATATTTTGAGGAGTGTCAGCTTTAAAGAAGAAGAAAAAAAAGACCCATACTAAAATGACTAACCAATTTTATATTTTGAGGAGAGCCTAATGGCAATGGTAATACTAACAGTTTCCTTATAAAGGAAATATTCGTCACTAATTGACCAAGCAACTGGTGCTACTTTTGGTTGAAAACAATATTTCAGGAAATTATACTTCTCAAGTTATTAAAGTGAATTTCCTTCCAAACATTTTAGTGTAGACAGTGTGTAAACATACTACACAACCCTCACCCAAGCTTTCCATCGTCCAGTCAATGATTACCCCACTTTACTTTCAGATTTATGATCTCATCAATGTGCACCGAATGATGGGGAAGGATGAAATGCATGCTGACAAGGTCACATTGAAAAATAAGAACGTGAACCCTGTTTCACCCCCCATATTATAGTCAGATGTTTTATTCAGAAGTTTGCCTGCTCATCTTGGTGGGGAGGTAGTTGATACTTGGGACAGCTTCTGCCCTGCAAGCGCATCCTACTAACAACTCCATACCCATCTGATGGCTGGCAATACACATGGAAACTTTTTAGAACTGCGCAACGGACAAGTTTGTTACCCAAAAATGGCAGACAAACACACTTCCCAATCCAAAGCATGACTTAATATAGACCAACACCCGGATATAACTTATTTCCGGTTTTGTTGTCACTTGATCTCCAAAAGTGGATACTGCTTAGAAGACCAAACTTTAAAAAGGAATCATTCACTGGTCTATCAAACAGAAACACTTGAGACTGAGATAAAACTACTTTTTCCCTTGCTTTGTGGGTGTCCATAGTGTCACAAGTGAACATCTTAATATCATTCTCCATTCTTGTACTGGATGAACTTCAGTATATTATATATATATATATATATATATATATATATATATATATCTATCACAGCTGTTTAAAACCCTTGTTTTTTGTCATATAGGAAAATCCAACATGGCGCGTAAAAACTTAAAATATTCGCAAAAAAATCTCATTCGTCAGTAACATTTTAAACACCTCATAGAATGTCAAGTTCTTAAAGAAAACCTATGCCAAAGTATTTTCCTGAATCCTTGATGACTTGGCTGTCCGAAAATGATAATATCAAGATGAAATAATGGAAACCGACCGTGAAAAATACAATTATGTGCAACAGGTTTTCGATCAATTAGTAAACTTCTGGACTTTTTAGGGCAACTTTATAGGAACCAGACAGCTATTGTTTGCACATGGAATTATTCACTGGTAATTAATCTTCGATTTGGCTGTGGAAAATTTCACTCGGCAGTTAGCATTAAGAAATTATGCCCAAAAATCCCCTTTTTTTTTTTTAATGAAAAAATATTTATTTTCGCTTCAAAATAACATCCTTCAAAATTCATTCCTTTCTCTTTCATTTGGCATGAACATCATTGAATAAAAATATCGGCTAAATGGACCGGCGATGGGAAATACGAAAGATATGCTGCGAAAAAAACAATGTCATCTGCTAAGTGTTGCTGTCATCATCCGGGTCACGGGGTGTTAAAAACAAAACAAAACTCATCAAGCCATTGTTCAAACAAAGGTTATATCAAGCCCTAGTCATTGTGAACCCCTTTTTTTTTTTTTTTTCCACTCTTTGCTTTTATCTGGGAGTGGTGGGTTTTATTACAACTTGTTCTAAGGTTTGCCGTTTATTGCTGGCTGGCTGGCTGACCTTTGACCTAGATGTCAAAGTCAATTAGGTTTAATTTTCCTTATTGCTATTTTTTGGAAAAAAAAAAAAAAAAGAAAAAAAACTTTTGGTTTCTGGCGGTTAGGAATTGCAGATAAATCTCTTGCCTTTTACTAAAGATTTCTGTGGCTGGGTGTCAATTTTTTTTTTAACCCTTGGCAGTCATATAATTGAAAATTAACAATGGATTTTGTCGCATTTTGTTCACCTAGGAATGTTGATTTCCTTCAAAACTCAATTTTATGCCTGAAATAGTTTGATTATGATTTAGGCTTTCTGATTTTCAAAAAAAAAAAAAAAAAAAAAAAAAGTGGTTAATTTCCTATTAATGGGGGAAATATTTGTTTAGAACAAGAAAAAAATGCAAAATTTTCACTATTTTTTCACATTTTACCCACTGAAAAAAATTTTGAGTCATTTACACCAACTAATTTTACTTTTAAATGAAAGAATATATCCTTTGCTTTCAGAAAATACCTAGTTTCATGGGGTTCAGATCAAAAGTTTCCTTGATATTAGTTTAGGTGATGATAAAACAGTCATTTTTCAATATTTTACCCCTATAAAAGTAGGAAAATCCATTTTTTGAGAGAAAATAAGCTGTGACAAAATTGACTTTTGCCATTTTCGTGATGATTTTCACTTGGGAAAGAATTTTTACCATAGGAAACCTGAATTGACTTTATTTAAGTTCAGTGGGGCTATAGGAAACCTCAAACAGCTGTGATTGATAGATATATATATATATATATATAGATATCAATATAAATCCCACACTACAAGAGAGCAAGATCTTACCTCATCATCTAAATTGTGCAGAGGATAGAGACTGGGATATATTTTCTGTAGAAGGTAGCACATTGGTAATGTTTTGCATTGCTCCATGGCAAATACTCGTTCATCCAAGCTGACATGTGATCCCCGGAATGCCTTCTACAAATAAATAAAAAATATCAAAAATTTTACAAGTTATAAATAAGAATGAAGAACATGCAAAATAACACCAGAACAACCAAAAAAAAAAAAAAAACAAACAAAAAACAACAAAACTGTATTAAGTTCTTCTATGTGCTTATGTCCCTTCAGGATGTGGGCAATCATGGTCACAGTTCCTGGTCCTTGGTAGCTTTTGGTAAAATTTCTTTTTTGCTATCTCTCATAATCCATTCTACCAAACATTTACAAGCTCATTAGGCTTCTTCTTCTTGGTATCAATGGTAACTTTGTTTAAACAAATAAGTGAACATTTTAATTCACTTAAGGACTATATATTCAACAACACTGTGGCACCTTGCATTATTAGAAATATTCATAGAAATATGATTTAATTTTTTCTTACTCGGTTACTAAACAGGTTGTTAATTTTTTTTTTTTTAAACGGAAAATAACTGAGTTGAAAATAATTCACTAAGAGTGTACTAGACGATCCTAAGGAAAGAAGAAGGAAGGAAAAGGAAAAGGAAGGAAGGGAAGAAAAAAGAAAGAAAGAGAAATGTATGACGATGACCCAATTGAGGGTGGAGATAGGAGTCAGAAAGAGATTTAGGTCAGCGTCTTGGCCGATTTTCGAAAGTCATTTTGGTAAGAATGTCGGTCAGAGCACCTAGCCTACTTTTGCATGGAAAGACACCTTATCAATTTGGATAAAGAGAAATTTTGGGAACAATGAAACAATTTTAATCAGAGAAAAAAGTGTCTTTGGGTTGAGGGGAGGACCGTGGAACGATATACAGACCTGTTAAGAATTGGACACCCACGTTAATAAAGTAGAGACATTTCAATGTAGATAATTAAGATTTTCGACTATCAGGTAAAACAAAGAGGTAAAAAAGAGGGACAATTGCTTTTGGCTCACAGAGGGCGCCAAGAAGGCGGAAAAGATCCTTTCTAAAGTCAAGACTAATTAGCAGCGGGCTGTTTGACAAAGTCCAGGTGAGAGAAAGCCAAAGATTGTCATTTTTGCGTACGTGCAAAAAGGGGCAAAATTGGATTTTGTTTTTTTTTTTTAAACACGAACGATGTAACCACGCCCGCAAACAGAGGGGAGAGGATGTTCGATCAATAACAATTGGTCGAATACGATCACGTGACCTGCGGAAGAAAAGAAAGAAATGCTCAACCAGAATCCCATTAGCCGAAAACGGTCACGTGGCTGCGGAAAAGAAAAGAAAGAAATGCTCGATCAGAATCTCATTAGTCGAAAAGCGGTCACCTGACATACGAGAGACAGAGAGAGATGGATATGCGCCTCCCCACCAAAAGCACTATGAGGAAGTAGGGGTGAAAACAATAGCGATAATGGAGAAGACAGAATTAATACAGCTTTTGGAATTATCGAGAAAACCCTGACGCCGACAGACCCACCCCAGTTTGTTGCGGCGTCAATATAAGCAGGACCCCAGTCGACAGAAATCAGTTGAGTTGGAGTTGCAGTTGAGTTGGACCGCGGGCAGGATAGAGCCTGAACGCGCCATCAGGCCGATTCACTCGCCCCCCTTTGCGGGCAGAAGAATCCTCAGACAAGAAATCCTTCCAGCCCAAGTCGAAGACAGGAGAACTTCCAGCCCAAGTAGATGAAGAAGAAGATTGCCAAAAGCCGCAAAGAAATTACAGCCAAGTCGAAGATAAGAAGAAGAGCTGCAGGCCAGACAGGCCAAGAATTGCAGGCAGATAAGATGAAGAATTGCAGGCCAGACAGGCAGCAAGAGTTGTGGCAGAGTTACGGCAGAGTTACGGCAGAGTTCATCCCCGGACGGCAGCGAGAAAAGAACCCTCAGACAAGAAGAACTTCCAGCCCAAGCAGACGAAGAAGAAGAAATACAACTCAAATCGGAGAGAAGAATCAACTGCGAATGATCGATAGAAATTAGCCCCAGTGTCGAACTGAACCACACTCCGACATACATACATGATTCTAGAAAGTAGGTAATTCGACATTTTTCTATTGTGTGATAGAAGCTTGGTGCCATAGTCCACAGAGCGGGTCGGGAAATGAGAACAATTTTGTTTTTATGTAACGGACTTTAAGATATAAAAGGTTGTTACCCTTTTTATCAGCAATTTTGTTTGGTGTCGTGAGTTTTTATTTTATTTGTGTTTTGCCACCCCCGCCGGACTCAACTTGTATCGCCCCGATCCCTGCTGGTCCCGTCTGTCTAAGATCTAAACACAGCGTGGGTAGACAGACCGGAGATCGGTATATAGTTGCTTTAGTGACCAGGTATTGGAAGCGAGTCGGGAAAGGCGAGGCTGGTGATCATCTGACCAAAAGGGTTGGAGCGGCACGCTTGGACCCAGGAGGAGCGACCAGGAGGAGTAGCGTCACCGTTGGCGCCGTAACCAAAGGATCCGACACTGGGCCAGGTGTGTAACCGTCACACACAGCAATTACTTTATTTATATTTATATATATATATATATATATATATATATTTAAAAATATGATTCCAAATCGCTACATAAGAGATCTCATGTTTCAAAACAAGAGCCGAAAACTTCAATATAATCCTTTAAATTAAATTTGTTGAAAGTAAAATGGGCTCCGTTCCATCTTCAAGCGAAATTTTTGTTGGAATAACGTATATCTGAAATTTACTTGTTTTAAAATTGAAATCAAAATCCCCATGGTAACAGCTATGGTGAATTGTCTAAATTGGGTAGGCGAGTGTAGGGTGTTTATAATAAGTAGCGGTATAGAGATACTTTCAAGGTGTGTACACACACACACACACACACAGGGTGCGATGGGTAAATTGTCGCTATTTTATATATTTAATTTCATGCATTTATGATTTTACTGACTTGTGTAGTCAATAGTAGGGTCAGTTGAGTACAGTCTGTGAGAAAAAAAAAAATCACCATGATGCAATTCACTTCACTAGAAATTTGGAAATGGCATGCTGTACTGCTTGGCATTTGCACCAGAAGCTCCAATACAAACATTTCAGTGTTTGGGTGTCAAATCTGAGGACAGTGCAGAGAATTCGGAAAGAGTTGGACGATATATCCAGTCAACGTCATGGTGTTTGGAGTAATCGCTAGTGATGACAACGCTATGTTTCCATTCATTTTCCACAGGGATTAGACTCAACAAGGAGACCTACATCAAGTGTCTTGAGTAAATAGTACTACCCTGAGTCAAGAGGGTGGCTGCTAGAAGACCCCATGCCTGGCAGCTGGACTCTGCACCATGCCATACAAGCAGGGAAACCCAGTCATGGCTGTCAGACAATTTCTGTGACCATATCACCCCCTTACATCTAACTACTTAACTCCCCAGACTGCAAATTATTGTGTGTGGGGCACAGTTGAGCAAGAGACCAACAAAACTCTTTATAACACCAAAGATGAATTGAAGGCAAAGATTATGACAGCAATCAACAACTTAAACAAGGAGACCATCCAGAAGAGATGCAGGAGATTCCAAAATCGTCTGGCGGTTGAAGCCAATAGTGATTTTATTGAATAAATTTACTCTTTAGTATTTCAAGATATTTTTGTTTAATTTTGGTAAATATATCTGTTAAAATGAGGTGTCAGTGTTTTGTATTATTTAGATAATTTATCCATCACCCTGCCCCCATGTGTGTGTGTCTGAGTGGTTAAAACGTTTGCTTTCCAAGCATGAGACTGATTCAAATCCCATCATGGTCAATTTATCAAGAAGGGGACTTCTTGAGGTCATCGGCCTGGGTAGGTAATCCCAGTGTGTGACACCTTTCGAAAGAGCCTGGAAATCATACCATGAGTTAACCCAAGCCTTGTGAGTAAAAATGGTTAGACAGAACTATTTGGGAGCCATCAATGGTTGTGCTAGCATGAAGTCACAAGTCATCGTGACCATGGGTTTTGTGCATACTGGCTTTGTTCAGACTGTTGATCATGCTCTCTCCCAGAAACTTGAACTAAGGTCCTCTCAGCATAATTGCAGTATAAACTGTAAGTGGGCTCTGTGGGTGTTGGACAACAAAAAATGTGCCTGAGCAAGCATCTGCAAAAGGGATTGGCTAGCTATCTTAGTAGACAAGCATCCTCACATACAATAGGCTACCCCACCATACACACAAGAAAGATGCAAAAATTTCTAGGATATTATAAATGAGAGAAAATATATAGCGAATTAGCTCAAAGATTGAATATTTTTAGCACCTGAGAACTCTTCAATTTAACTTGCAACTGTGAAATTGTCCTCACTGATCTAGTTTCAGTTCAAACCCAGTTAATTTATACTTAAATGAAATGAAAAATATTCTTGTTATTTTAACCAATCCAAGCAAATTATAAAAAGTATTCACCAGATTGTGTAAATAATTGATTGAAAGAAAATTTATAAATCCAGCTTCATATATTTGGATATTATTAAAATTCTAAAAATAGCTCTTTAAAAATCAAAAATTGCCAATAAAATATACAGTAATAGTAATGTGAAGGAAAAAAACTGACTTTTTGACGCATTGCTTTTTGTTGCTTTTTTTTGCTGGGGAGAGGGGGTACATTTGTTAAACTTTGCTGGAAAAAAAAAAAAAAAAAAAAAAAAGGATCATTTGCTAAGATCAAGTTCTGTAAGGAAACGCCTGAGCTCATCTTGTAAAACAGTCAAGTCCAAGGAAGATTTGAACATTGTCACAATTGGGACAGGTTTTCTCGGCATCTCGATCTACAGATGAATAGAAAAGACGACCACAAAATTAAGAAATACTTACACTCTTCAACATCCCCAAGATATATAAAGGTAACAAGCGCAGAGCAAATGGGCAGGGTAAACTGCCCAATCTGCCAGTAGAAGGCTGGGAGGAAATGAAGGAAGAAAGAGCATCCACTCCAGCATTGATGAGAGCATCACGGGCATCACCTAGGGAGCTAGATAGAGTCGATCGACAGAAAAAAAAAAAAAAAAAAAAAAAAAAAAATTTACATATTGATAATGTAGAAAAAATATACAATAAACATTTTTATTTGGGGGGGCAAATATCAGGATTTTTTTTTCTTTTTTGGCTTGGCTTCTTGATCAGGCAAAGAACTTTTCAGCAAGCCTTGATATAACTAAAAATTCATAATCAGAGTTTGGGGGTAGTTTATTTATAAGTAATTGCTAAGGCTTCAAAAGGATACTATTATTTACACTATTTACATTGTTCAAACTATTCTCCTTATCTTCGTCGTCATATTCACATTTGGCCGTTGAACACTACAGCCTTTTTCAGGTGTTATACATTGGAATTTCAAATCGAACCCTTTATTTGACAATGATGATGAGGACAATAGTTTGAACAATGTAACTAGTGTAAATAATTACAATGCCTCATCTCAGAAATATAGACTGATACCATAATATATGAATAAGTCTATTTTAATGTTGCCATCAAATTATTTTTCTCATCTCATCTGGAATTTAAATGAATTGAAAAATAGGACAATTTTGAAAAATGAAATTACACAAGGTAAGTTTTGAAATGGTTAAGTTTTACAACTTGAAGAAATTACAATCTATATCTTTCAAGATTAGAAATTCCTCCAAGTCTGTAATAAACTCCAAACTGAAACAGTGGAATAAGAGAATGTTGCATGCGTGCAGTTTTCCTTGAGCAATAAGAGCAAATTGAAATTTATAGTCAAGATGAGGTACACTTTCAACTTAATATTCTGGCAATAAAATGCTATCTGGTTGTTAGTGATACAAATTATTAAAGTGAACATAGAAAACAACATAAAAACAAATACAAACCCATTTTAGCAAGGAGGGCAGCAATAGCTTGCTGATCAGCGGCTGCATGTACTGCACTGAGTTCAGTTGTCACAGGCAGACACAAAGTATGCACTCGAATTCTGCGCTCACCTGTAACACACAAATTAATTATACTCTTACAGTTTTATCTCTTTCTAATAAACAATTGAGAATTTTTTTTTTTTTTTTTTACATATTCAAATGTTACAGTTTAGAAATATGAAAAGTTTGCCTGTAAATATTTGCCGAGTTCTGACATCAGAAAAAAAAAAAAAAACAAAAATTAAATCTTTGGAGAAATATATAACTACTTAAGCCTCATGGTTGAGATTGTAATAGACAAGGGTGGCTCAATATATCTATAGCCTAATAGCTAAATTTTGATCTGAAATATCCATTACATAATGTTCACTTTGTGTTTAATGAAGAAACACTAGGTTATTAAGTACATTGACAAGGGAGTTATGACACCATGACTGGTGTGAAAGGTTGACTGACAATCTAATTTTTATTTCTAAAGAAAGAAAAATATTTTTCATGTTAAAACAATGCAATACCATGAATTTTCATGCTTGTGTCACTTATGAGTATAGAGTGAGAGGTGAAAGTGTGTGTTTAGTGGGATTGGTCATTAAATACACTCTTAGGTTTGTTTAACTTAAATGTTGTTTTCATTTGAAAAAGGAATTATACATTAAAATGAGTGACACACAGTAAATCTTTACAGGTCAGGTTTGTTTTGATCAGGGACATGACATTTTCAGATGGAAGTGATAATGACACCTGTGATAATCAGGTCAAATAAGGGTGAGATTCCAGAACATGAAAAATGTTCCACTGAAGTTGGATAAGAGGGATACAAGGCCACCATTTTGACTGGCCTACCAAGGACAGAAAGGCTGTGATGGAGCTTCTCGTCTCCCCCCCCTCTCTGGTACTTAAGACACAGGGCCATTATTTTGATTCAATCACCAATCATATTGGGTTCTTTGGGGCTTTCCTTCACCCACTTTGATGCGGATGACACAAGATCATTGGTCAAGTATTATTATTATTGGCTAGCCAATCAGAACACTGAAATTGGGGTTTGCACTCGTATAAAAAGCAGTTGCCGAAAGAGCAGAACTAGTGGACTAATCCTAACCCTGCCTCAAATAATCTCTTTTTTTTTTTTCTGCTGCTTTTTGAACTCCTTTGATCAGCTACCTTCATTTAAATAGTTAACCGAGTCTGGGCAGTTTAGCCATAACTGCAACCACCAGTAAAACTTCTTCAAATCCCTTTTGTTTATGTATTCATGACCTTAATCAGAGTACCATAAACAACATTCGTTATTTTTACATTTGTTAATGAGTCTTGTTGAAGTTGATTAAGTTTACCAGTGACTTTAGTCTTTCAGAAGCATAGCCAAGACAGAGAGGTGTCAAGCCTGATCTTCAACAGTTCTTCACCAATATTCCTGTGGATTCTGAAACACAATGTCGAGATGCAGAATTGGTGCAGAGCAAGCTTGCTGGTGACGGACCAAAGTAAGAGTGGCATTTAGCGAAGCACACAGCAACTGGGCCACAAGTAGATCATATTGATAAATAAATATATTCTTTGAATACATAACCACACTTATTGATGAATGCTATGTATTTATAATTAGCACCAAAGTTCACTGAGATTAAGTAATATTGTCAAATATATTTTTCAAGAATTTTTTCTTCATTTGCATCTCCTAATGCAACCAAATAACCAGCACTTGTAAATCTTTGTTTTGAAGTTGTTTTAAAATTTTATATTAACATAAATCTTCTTCATATTCCATGATATAAATGCAAATAATGAGTGAAAGTTAAGATAATGATAAAAAAAAAATTGTGGAATGAAATTTTAAAATATTATCAAAATTATCATTTCATTATCCCTTATTTTTTTCTTAATGTATTTTTATGCTTCATTTATGAGAAGATGTCAAAGTCGGAATCCCTTTCTGAAATTTTATCTGCTTTCTGATCAATAAGAAACAATACCAATTAATTCCTAGTATTGAGTATAGTTGTTAGTTTCCTAATTATTGGATATTGTTAACAAGTCTTTTGTTAAAAGACTTTCCAAACTGTAAGTTCATAGTAATCTCGGACAAGCATATAAAACCACCAGTCAGATGCACACGCTGCATAATAAGTCAAATAAAATGATTTAGCTACCTTTACTTGAAGTATAGAGCAGTGCAGCCTGGAAGCAAGCTGTATTGTTTTCGGTCAAAGAATCCTCAATTGATACTTGCATTCCAAAGCCAGCATCAGGGTTGATGTTGGGCAGAGATAACAAATCAGTTGACCGAACAAAAAAGTTTCCATGAAATGTATGGATGCTTAAACCTAGAAAGACAGAGAGAGAGAAAAAAAATATTTAAAAAATCTTCAAAATAAAAAGAACACAAACAACTGTAATCATTAAATTATAAATACTGAAAGCAAAACAGAAAAATTCCCTTGTTCTTAAGAAATTAATTTTATAAACAAACAGCTGACATGTATTGTATGAGAAAATAAATACAAAGCCTAAATGAAATCTGGATTGATTAATGCTACTCACATATAAAATGCCAAACAGTTTGTTTCATGAGAGCTGGGCTGTTTTCCAATTACTGAGATTTGTTTGGAATTTTAAAGCTCAAAAACGTCAATCCAATAAGGTTATAATACAAGCAAAAATAAGAAAGACAATTTCAAACACATCAAGATGTATTAATGTCTAGAATCTTAAAAATATATTTGTTAATCAGTTTGTCATGACTCCAACAAATCTGGACTAATTTCCATCTGAATTCCCGAGATGAAGAATTATTATACAATATTAAAACTGTTGTCCTCATCTTGGTTGTCATAGTCACAACATTTCATCAGCCTAAAATTCAAATAAAATCTGTGCAGAAAATTTGGAGTAATTTAACTGGCACTAGGTAGAAATGTCATTCTGATCAGAGGAGTGACATTGAGGAGAGGCAGCTATATTTCAAGTAGCAAGATAAAGGACTTTCTAAGTTTAAATGTTCTAAACATTCTACTCTGAGTGGATTATCTTTAAAACCATCTCAGGTGAGGATGGATGGATGGATGTTGGATCATCTCAGGTGAGGAAAAACTTTTTAAAGTTCATGGAAGAAAATAGCAATATCTATATCCAAAATTCCCAATGCACATCTACCACCTTCACACATGAAGAACCAAGAAAATTATCATGGTCCAAAGTCGCTGTCATCATCTATGCGCTGTGTCTTTTCCGAACATAGGTGATCATGGCTCTCCACAGTTTCCTGTCCTTTGTAGCTCTTAATAAATTTTTACCTTTTTGTTATTTCTCCTAAACCTTGTTCTGCCATCCATTTATTGAAACTCACTAAGGAGGTTATACATTGTTTTCCTCTGGCCTTCAATCTGTCCTGTGAGTATCAAAATTTCCAAGCTCTCTTTCCTCATTATGTACCCTAGAAACATCAACTGTCTCTTCCTGATGTTAAGTATGTTTTCTTTTATTTTCCATTTTTTTCAAAAAACTTTTTGTCACTCACATGTTCGGTCTATGGTATCCTCAGCGTCCTTATGTTGTGACTGGCCGAGATTGGTAGAGATGCGCAAACAATTACCATATTTCAAGGCCTACTAAAGTCAACCCGATCTTTTTCTGATTATCATTTTCAACAGATAGCACAGAAAACACAAATTCTTTTTCAAGTTAGGACTTGGTTTTCTCCTTCATTGCTACAGTTAGCTATACAATTCTTTTTATAGATAATTACTTAGAAGTTCAAAGCATCTAGCTAGTAACAGATAGGTGATTTTAGAGTAGTATATTCTGCTGATATTAATAGATTCTTCATGCAGACATATTACTGTAGATATCATGTGATCTGGATGATGTCTCAAGTACAACATCTGTTCAACAGACTACTGCTTATCTTTTTAGCACATAAGGTCTCGGTAGGCAGATATGAGGAACAGACAGTTAACAATGCAATAGGTTTCTCCCCATCTACATCACTGAAACGGTCCAGTGGAAATGCAAGTGCCAATACACCTGGTTCCAGCACCATTGCAGAAATTGTCAGGATGTCACCAAATACAACTACAAACTGCCTTAGGGACTCCAACAAATTGGCTTTCCTTAGGGTTAATGCCTGAAGCTTTCCCTAGGAGACAGTTTAGCCACAAAGCAGCAGAGGTTTTAAATCAGTGTTTTCCTGCTCTTAGACTGGTTACCAGCCAAGGTTGACAAGCCTTCATTTGTCTGATTGCATACAACACTCTAGAATAGACGATGAATAAAACAGCATTCAAATTATACAAAAACCATAGAAAATAAATCTCTTTAATAACAGGAGAACAGAGTTCCAATTCCTGTTGGGTTCGTTATATTCACTTACACACATATACTCATGGGGAAGGTATGAATCCATCTCTTCATCACCTAGCTATAGGTTGGTAGACAAGTCACAATGTGTTGCACACATTGTGAGAACAATTGTAGCTGACGAATGGCACACAAGTCAATATCTGATCAGTATCAGCTAGATCACTGTGCAGAGGGTGTATGATATTAAAAAAAACTGAAACCCCTAATGATCCTTGGCTAAAAACATCACTGATGATGCATGACAGAGCATCAAACAAATGTATTTCAAAAAAGACTTGTATCACTAAACCATTATCACAAAAAAAAAAAAAAATCTTATAATCTAACAATATTTTCTGGCTTTAAATAACCTGCAAAGGGTTGATAAGCCATAGAAAATTAATCAATCAATAAAACCTCTATTTCTTTTCTCAGAACAAACAGTAAGATTTATATGGGAAAAAATGTCAGTTAATGTAAAAAAAAAAAAAAAAAAAAAAACTATTCAAGAAGACAACTGAGCAAAAAGCAATCCTTTTTAAAGAGAAACTCACCTCTTGTGCAACGAATTCTCATCACAGCCTCAAAGCCAATCTTGCGTGTCACATAGCGAGCCAAATCTGTCTCAAATTTATCAATTAAACCAGGGTTCTTTGCAGTGTGGAATGATGGGTAATGGTACAAACAGCCTCCTGAATACTTAGAGACACAAGCTGCAACAGAAACAATACAGCATTATTGCAATGTCGTGCAAAAGTTCCTAAAACTGCTCAGATTAAATAGAAAATAAATCCTAGTAAATAAGGTAAGTGGAGAGAAACAAAGATGAAGATAATGACTTACCAACAGTGGCTAGATCAGCATATTGACCATTCAACATAAAAACATCCATAGCTATTTGCTGAGCAGAACAATCAAGTGCCAATTTCTTGTAAAAATCTGTTGCAGGTCCAAGGTGAGGTATATTCTACCAAATACAAAACAAAAAAGTAGTTAAAATGTTTGAAGGATCTCAAATTTAAACATTACTTTTTCTGTAATTTATGCAAAATCTAAGACCTAATTAGCAGATTAGTGTGATCCTTATGTTCTTTACTATAAAATCTGATTTAATCTTTTATCAGAGTTGTTAGAAAAGGAAAAATATTACAGAAGAGCTGTGAAATTTCATTCCAGCTAGGAATATGTTTGATTTAACTCTAAGCCATCAGCTCTTAAAAAAAAAAAAAAAAATTATATATATATATATATATATATATATATATATATAATAAAAAATATATATGGAAAAAATAAACAAAAATCCTTATATATAATTATGCTGTTTTAATGTTAATATGTCAATGTCGGACGTTTCGGTCTAATAAACCATCTTCAGGACATATTCAGAAATTATAACATTATCAATACAACATGACAAAGACGATGTACATAAGATAATAATATAATTATAATTTATGAATATGTCCTGAAGATGGTTTATTAGACCAAAACGTCCGACGTTGACATATTAATATTAAAACAGCATAATTGTATATAAGGATTTTTGTTTGTTTTTTCCGTATATATAGAGAGATTCATACTGTCGGATCTATATCCATATATTTGCTTATATATATATATATATATTGAATAAAAACAGACCACTTTAAGGTTCCATGTAAATAAGTTATTTCACCACAACCCCTTTAACAGGGCTCTGGATCATCAGACTTTACTTCCAAAGGTTGAAATGAAAAAAAAATATATATATATATATATATATATATATATAATCTCCCGACAAAGTGGAAATGTAAAAGAAACCATACTTATTAAGTGTCCTTAAGCACAGTATCATGCTAACAACCTACAATTTGAAAATGGTCATATTACAAGAGAACAAGACTGAAAAAATTCAATCTGTGTGCCTATGATGCTGGTGTTTAATAAAATTTTACACTTCAGATATTTTTTTTTTCTTATTAAAAAGAAAAAAATGAATGCAGTCAACATTTTTATTCAAGCAGCTGTATCTACAATAAAAGTCGGATATTTAACCATTGAATGCTGACTGAATTCTAACTTATTTCTTCTATGCGCTGCGTTCCTTCAGGATGTGGTCAATCATGGCTCTCCACAATCTCCTATCCTGTGCAGCTCTTAGTAATAGTTGTCTTTTTACCATCCCTTCCACAATTTGAACCTAGTCTCTTCCTACTGCACTGTCAGTCTATTTGCTAGAGACATTGAGCACTTTGGGTTTCTTGCCTAGGTAGGTGTCTGTTTATTTTTTTTTTTTTCTTCTTGGTTTCTTTTGTTGCTCCATTTTTTTTTTTTTTTTGTTTGGCAGGCATAATGTTGGTAAGGTTATATTTGGAAGCTTTACCAATAATCTGGTTTGTTAAATACGGGATAACAATATATATTTTTTATATTAAGAAAAGTATTGAGGAAATTTTATGACAAAATGGAAAAATTTACTTGTGACATGTTTCGTCCTTCAGGACTTCATTGGACTAATTTTGTTATGTTGGACTACACATATGCCCAGCAGATGTGTAGAAATGGATGTTTTAGAAATTTTTTTTTTTTTCAATTGAATTTTTTTTTGTTGTTTTTTTTTTTTTTGTTTGTTTTTTTTATTTTCATCACTTTTGTAAGTATGTATTCCACACTGCGATATTAAAAGATCAGACAAGAATGATGTAAGTGCCAGGGTGCAAATTTATTGTAGATGACCTTGCGATTAAGGCACTCTCTAGACATTTACATTGTAGTGAATTGTTTTCTCCTTTGATCATGGTAGCATTTTTTTTATGTCAAAGTTGTGGTCAGTCTCATTATGGTGGGCAACCAATGCATTTGATGTATTATTTTGTAAAATGTCCCTTTTGTGTTCATATAATAACCTTATTTAGATTCCTTGAGGTCTCTCCTATGTGAAAAAAAAAAAAAAAAATTCCCAGCAACCCTCTGCTATGCACATGTGTAGTGCTACCAACGTAACAAAATTAGTACAATGAAATCCTGAAGGACAAAACATGTCACAAGTAAACTTTTTACACTTTGTCATAAAATTTCCCTTATATATATATATATATATATATATATATATATATATATATTACTAGCAGTAGAGACCGGCACTGCCCAGAGATGTAAAAGTAAGAGATAGATCAAGTATCGACCATCATAAAGACTGAAAAATAAAATTGACAAAGGTTATTGTTTAAGGTTGATGGACACGCATGTCTTAATTAGTTTTGATTTTTGTTTTTTTTTACAAATTGGTCAAACCCAAACTCAAATGGAATTTTTAAAGCATTCTGAATGTAAAAATAAAGAAAAAAGTGTGCAAGACAATAAGAAACACTACCTGCCAAAAAAAAGTGAAGTTTTGTTGAAATCGGTTGAAAAATGTAGGAAATCCGATCCAATAAATAAACATACAGACACACACAATCTACGTTTTATAATAATATATATATATATATATATATATATATATATATATATATATATATATATATAAAGTTTGAAGGTTCTTTTTCTTCAGTTTTCAGAATATATTAAAAAGATCTTGCATAGTTTTGTTTAGAGTTTTTATAGTTTTATATTTTGGTATTAAGTTTCATTTCCATTAAGTCAAGGATATCACTTGGTTTAGTGTTTTGAACGAGTTCTTTTGTATTGTTTGCTTAATAATATTTTTTGAAATGATGACAACTTATAAGTATATGTTCAAAAGATACTTGACATCTGCTGCATGATGGGGGAGTTTTATTTTTTTAGCAGATGTTAGTATGTCAAATGTGTATGTCCTATTCTAAGTTTGGATCAAATTATTTTCTCTCATCTTATTTTTCTGAAACCTGGGAGCCATTCTTCTATAGTTGGCCAAATACCATATAATTTGCTAGGTTCTAAGTTCCACATTGCTCGCAATTTTCTTTTGATATGTTCTTTTATTTTGTTTCTGAAGCCTGTATGGAGTATCTTTATGTTGGTTATGTTGAGAGAGCCTTTAGCTAGTTTGTCTGCTATTTCATTGCCCAGTATACCAAAACAACTTGGCAGGTAATTATACATTTAACACCAAACGAGTTGTTTAAAGTAAAATTCAAGTATAATAAAGCAAGTTTGTTATGATCATGTCTTTTTGTTTTTTTTTTAATTGGGAACTGTATAAATTAATCTACTTGAAATGACATGACCTAACAGGACTCCTACACCATTCTGGTAGGGACCAGAATGTAATAAAATACCAAAAAACAAGGTCACCAGAATTCTTAGAATGATAATTATTCATCTCATGATTATGGAAATAAAAATCAAATATGAACCGATAGGTCCCTGCAATGATATTATCCCACTCAATTATTTTGAAAATAAAAAAAAAAAAGTTAAAAAAATTGTCATCATAGTAAACCTTTAGTTTTAAATGTTTGCTGTCATATTAATTTTTGTTTTCAGTCTTTTTTAATTTTTTTTGTATAAAAAGGTGAACTTCTTTCAGTCACTACTCATAAATCTCATACATTTAACTTACAGATTTTTTTATGCTTGAATGTAAATCAAGATTATAATTTATTGCTTAATCATTTTGATAACATTAATGAGGCATGTCAATATTTGGATTGCTATTCAGGTATAAGTGAACTATAAAATCAGTGACTTTTATTGCCAAGCTATAAAATTTACACTATTCACTATTGTTCAGACTGTTGTCCTCATCTTTATTGCTTTACTAGCAGTAGAGCCCGGCGTTGCCTGGAGATGTAACAGTAAGAGATAGATCAAGTATCAACCATCATAAAGACTGTAAAATAAAATTGACAAAGATTATTGTTTAAGGTTGATGGACACACATGTCTTAATTAGTTTTTTTTTTTTGTTTTTTTTTATGAATTGGTCAAACCCAAACTCAAACAAAAACATTGTTTTCAATCGTTATGAGTCTATCGATTGAATAAATTTTATTATAAACAATTGTCTTGTAAATGGAATTTTTTAAAGCATTCTGAATATAAAAATAAAGTAAAAAAGTGTGCAAGACAATAAGAAACACTACCAAAAAAAAAAAAAAAAAAATTTTTTTTTGAAATCGGTTGAAAAATGTAGGAAATCCGATCCCATATATAAAGGAACACACACACACAACCTGGGTTTTATAATAAGTATAACTCGATATGGGTTGTCCCTCTTTCATTCTGGCGACAGAATCGTGTTTTATCGTATTTTCAAATTGATTTCATACAAAAACAATTGTCTTTTTTCCAATTTTGGTGCTGTCAGAACCACCCAGAAGGTAATTTCGCAGTCCTGTGAAGTTTTGTTGGAATTGGTTGAAAAATGTAGGAAATCCGATCCAATATATAAACGTACAGACACACACACAATCTCGTTTTATAATAAGTAAGATTCACATTTTGGCCATTGTAAGCTCTGACCTCCTTCAGGTGATATACATTGGAATTTCAAACTAAACCATTTATTTAGTCTACAGGGGTAGATTTTTCTAATTCCACATGCCATGTATTGAGTTTTTGGAACTCAGCTCTCCAAGTTTCGGTCCCCTTTGCTGTAGCCAAAAATTAAACTCCCAACTCCTTGGGTCAAGTCACTTTTTGGATTACTCAACCAAAGCTTTTATCCAATGGACCAAGTGTCTCTGGGGAGTGAATTTTTGCAACTTGTAAACCTAATGTCTCGGTAACCATTTTTTTTTTTTTTTTTTAACCAGAGCTCATATTACAATTTCTGTTATTGTTGTTTTTCTCTAGCTCTCAGTATTACAATGTATATCACCTGAAGAAGGTTAGAGCATACAACAGCCAAAACATTGTAAATATGGCAATAAAGATGGGGAGAGCAGTCCAAACAATCTAAATGTAGTTAAAATACCTCATTGCAGAAATATAGGCAGGTCTTAAAACTTGAGATCAATGGCAAGCAAGCCAATTAACCTTCATTGGAGTCAATAATAAAAAAAAATCATAATGAAGCTAGCCAACCAACTGTGACAGAGAGAGAGCCCCCCCGCCAACAGGTGGGTTTATTAATCAACAGTTTTAAAGGATTGGGATGAAGGTATTAATTAGTTGGGTAGAAGGGATTCCAGAGTAATTCCAGAAATAAGTTGTTTTCTTTTTTAATTGTTTCTGGGGTTGAGTTATTAGTTAATTAGGTGAATTAATTTCAGAGTGATTAATGGACGGGTTCATTAAGTAAAGCTTGTGATAAATGGTGAATTGGATTTTTGGGTGGTCTGCAGGACAAAATCCAGCCAAAGTCCTTAGACGAGAGAAGTACTTTTCGCAAGGCTTAAGTGGACAATGTCTGTGGAAAACCCAGCAGGGAATCCAAATTCATTTTTAGTACCACTTGAGAACTGGTTGCCCGCAGAGATTCGGAGATTAGGCGGAAACACATGGTGGTCAAGGTGATTAAAATTCGTGAGCGGTGCCTAAAAATTGTTTAGCTCTGCCCCACTCTATATAAGCCACCTGCATGCTTGAGGCGGAGAGAACGCGGCAGAAAACGGCTTGGTGGACCTTGCTGGTCTGGTCAGTTGGTTGTCCTGCATCAAGAAGACCGATCCAAACAAAGAGATAGAAATAGAACCCGTACAAATCCAGATAACTTCATCAACAAAGCTGTGAGAAAGGAGACTGCTATATCATAGGGTGCAGACGAAGATCCACGAATTACCTCCCTTAGATCAGCTGAATTCCTATCGGCATAATAATCGTCTTTCTCTCTGTGACTTTCCGACCCAAATGAGTGAATCTCATTAAGACACTTTGTATTCGTGCAATTTCTTTGGTAGTGACATAAAAGCAGTAGCCTTAAAAGGCTCTTTGTACAGGAACCGAAAGTGTTGCTTATTTTTTATGTCCTTGCGGTTACGACAAGAACTTTTTTTTGCATGAATAGCAATTCCTTTCAGCGTAGAACCCAGTTATTTCATCCTTTACCAACAGACCATCCTGAAGGATCAGAATACTGCTGTTCGGATTAAAAAAAAAAAAAAAAAAAAACTCACAACGTGGCGAATAGTGGTGGTTCCCTCAGTTCACCAGAGGAGGACCAGGTGGTTTTCTTTTAGCAGACAGAACCACCAGAGAGACAGGACATAGCTGCCGGTGGCAGGGCTTTTACGTTAGAAATTACAGAGAATAAAACCAAAATGCCAAGAGAGAACAAGAAAACAAAATATGAAATTCTTACCTTATTACCTGCCTTGTTAGAACTGCTGTCTTCCCTCATTTGAAGGGCCCCAGGCCCAGCAGTTGGTAGACAGGTTTGGAATACAGTGACTCTTCCTCCAGTTGGGCTGAGGAGCTTGAACGAGGCCTGCAGGGCCGCTCCAAGAGCATTTCCAGTTTCCATATTATTGGCAAACAGTTGAGGTAGCTGGCACAATAAATCCTGTACAAGGTCCCTGCTCTCGTGCAAGTTCACCAGCAAACTGTCAGGGAGTGGCAAAAAGATTTCTGCAACAAATCATAACAAATAGAAATGAAAATTTAAAATTGATTTTTTTTTAATTATCAATTCTAACATAAAATTAACCTCAAATGCATAAAATATTGGCAATAAACGTCAAATGATATGGAGAGACAAAATTCCATTGCTTATGCCTCATTTTAATGGAATTGATTGGAACATCAGCACAAGAAATAGAATCTTATTTCCTTCAACATTTGTTAAATGGAATTAGAAAAAGTTACATCCGTGGACTAAATGAAGTTCAAACTTCCGACAAATATCACCTGAAGAAGGTCAGACCGTAGAACAGCTGAAACATCATAAATGTGACAATAGGGAGGACGACGACAACAGTTTGAACATTGTAAATAGTGTAAATCTAATTTCTTTTCTTACCAAAAAGAAAAGGACTATTTCTGTTTTACTGGGATTCACAACTTTATTAGCAAAGTTTTTCACATATGTTCTGACATATGGTAGGTGAAATAAGACTCGGGACTTAACCTACAGTTTTCTCTTCGGATCAATACGACACAGAATCCAACTTCATTAAAAATACAAGCACTTCTAAATAGAATTGAAACCAAATATTGGTGCTGGCAAATTTAATTCGTTATTCTACATAGAAATTATTAAAAACAAATAGTATAACTTTGACACAGGTTATAACACAGAAAAAAAATACAGTATTCAGAATTTCATAAACATTATTTCATGTTTGAATATCGTTACTATTTAACACTTATCCTGGTTTCAAAGATTTTGTTATTTATCAAGTTCTAAGATTTCACTCATTAAATTATCTATTTATTATAAAGAAAATAAATATTTAAGCCAGAAAGCAAATTTTGATTATTAAACAGAAAAATTCAATATCCATTTTCTTCACCTCCACACACTGTTTTTTTTCTAAAAACATGAAGCACTCGTTAAATATATTTATTGTCTGAATATCGTTAGAAGCCATTAGTATTTCTATATGGAAATTGAAGCATTAGGAATTTTGAACTTGAAATATTTTACAATATAAAAAAAAAAATAAATAAAAAAAATAAAAATCAGTATCCAAGACAATATTCTTTGATTTTCATAACCATCTTGAGGTTGGAAAACAGCTTTGAAGAATTATAATAACTGTATGTTACACAAACTTTTTTTCTTCTCTAAGAATATTGAATTATTGTTTTAGTATCTGACTATATATTTTCTGAGATGAGGTATTATGTACACTATTTACATTATTCGGACTATTGTCCTCATCTTTGTTGCCATATTTATCACAACGTTTTGGCCGTTGTACACTCCAGCCTTCTTCAGGTGGTTGGAATGTCAAACTGAACCTTTTATTTCACTTGCTGGGGTAGACTGTTCTAGTTCCATGTGCCATGTCTAATGGATGTCAGTTATCAGTTATCTCCTGTTAATTCACCTCTCCAAGTTCTCCACTGCCCTAACCAAGTATTGAACTAACAACTCTTTGGATTCTGTCACTGGATCTAACCAACACTTTTATCCACTGTGCCATGTGTCCTTAAGGGTTCAGTTTGACATTCCAACCACCTGAAGAAGGCCGGAATGTACAACGGTTGAAACGTTGTGATAAGTATGGCAACAAAGATGCGGACATTAAACCAAATAATGTAAATAGTGAATTATTGTTTGTTACAAATTTATATTGTACTTTTGCATTTGAATTTAAAAATTAAATCAATGCAAATTTTTAGCTAATGAAGAAAACAGTCCTGAAAAATGTACCAACAAATGTGTACGAGTGTGTGCATGCATGTTATAAAGTTTTTGTCTACAATTTTATAATCATTCAGTAATTTTTTTTTATTTTTTTTATTTCAAATATAAACACAAAGACAAATATTTACATCACCTGAAAATGATCACAAAAATTAAGGAAGACATGCTTGAATATTAAGTTTTTAAGAAATTGTAAACAATTTTAGTTACACCAAATTTCTTACTGTTAGGATCGCATGTGGTTGGTTCAAATTAATTTTAAACCACATCCACCCCATTATAGCTTTCTTTGAGTATCTATGACAGGATACCTAAAACGAGGAAATTAGTCCAAGCCAACAATATACAAAGAATATAGATAATGCGAATAAGTTTTTTTTTTTTTTTTTTTTTAAATAAAAAAACAAAGCTGCACTTACCATCAATATCTGATACTGTAAGCATTTGAGGCTGAGAAAGACCTTCGGCCAAGTTGAAAAAATGAAGTGCTTGGTCAAATGCAATAAAACCAATTTGGGTACGAGAATCTCCAGGTAATTTGCTTAGCTCAGACCGCAGTGTTTTACATACAATTGAAAGATAATCTGGAAAAAAAGAGAAAAAGTCATTTTTTTTTTTTATATATTTTATATTTTTCTTTTAAACTTTAATATTTAAGCATAAACTTTAACAAAAGAAGGAATAATAATGATGTAAAGACCCCAAGAATAATATCCAAAGTTTATTTTGATGAAAAAGAATTAAAAAAAAAATTAATTATAGAAACAACATGTAAGTTACCTGTGCCAATTGCATTGAATGTAACATCCAACACAAACAGATACACGGCTGGCTGTGGTGGTCGTAACTATAAAACAAAACAGTAAATGAAAAAAAGCAAGGAGCTCAAAGAAGAAAATATTGGCTATGGCTACATAATCAAAATTTTAGCTGATATAAAACAAACATTATTTCTGTATTAAAGTTTACCAATGCTCTTTTTTATATTCACAAAGCTTTATCCAACAAAATGGAGGATAAACAAAAAAAAACAAAAAAAAAAAAAAACAAATGACAAGATTTAACCAAAACTTTGAATTTTCATTAAACATATAGATTTTTTTTTCAATGATTTCTAAATAAAAAGCACAATTTACATAACTGTAAATGATAAAAGCTTTCAATATTTTTAGGTAACTGTTTTTATTTTACATTTTCTGATGAAGGAAAAAAAAAACATTTTAAGTAAAATGGAAAAATGCTAAAAAATAAAAAATAAAATTAAAAACTCGCCCAATTCTAAGTAATTTCCCCAAAATATGCTTCATCAAATTAACTTACTAAGCACATCCACAATTCTACAATGTTGTATTTAGCCATTTATAGAATTTAATTTCAGATTGATATTACTTCTGGTTTTTAACACGTTTCTTTTATAAACTCTTATTTTAAGTGCAACAAATATGATTGAACCATTTCAACAAGGAATTAGAGTCATTTATAAAAAATGAATTCTCTTTTATGAGGAGATAAAACAATAGCAACAATGCCAAAAGTAGCTTTAATAAAAATCCAGTTTACCATATATTCCGAAGGAGCAATAAACTCAATTGTTGATGAACGGACTTCTGGTCTGCGTTGAGGATTTCCATAAGTCCGGGATACAGGATCAAAAGAAAACTCTTCTGGTACTGGAAAATAACAGCAATAAAATAAAAAGATGCAATGAGTTTGTCTCAATGATGAAAAAGGACCAAAGACACAAAGGAAAAAGTTACATGGAATGGGTACAAAAATAAATTACTAACCCCCATCTCATACCCAGAACAGACTGGCTTGGCTGGCTATTTAAATTTTTTTTTTCCCCAACTTCATAATTTAGGCATTGTGTCTCTTCAGGACATGGGCGATCATGGTTCTCCACAACCTCCATGCAGCTCTTTTCCATGTTTGTCTTTTCACCATCTCTCCCACTCCCAATTCTCTCATCCATTCACACAATCATGTTGGGTAGGTTACTGTTTCCCTATGTCCCTCTAGTCTTCTATGTCCTGTGAGTGTCAAATTCTCTAAGACCTCTTTTCTCATTATGGACCCTAGAAATTTAAAGTCTCTTTCCAATTCTAGTATAAGCGGCCTTTTCGTTCCCATTTTCTTCAATACTCACATGTTCAGTCCACAATATTCTAAGCATCCTTCTGTAGAAGCCCATTTCTACCCACTGTTATTCCAGACACCCAGTTTATTTTATTTACAACTTTTTTTTTTTTTTTCTTTCTCTCAACCTGTCGTCTTATTCCAACTTTTGTTTTGTGAATGAATTTTTCAACCTACCCTTCCAGATTTAATATCTCTAAGAAAATAATAAAACAATGTGCAGCTTGCAAGAGTAAAACTGATCTCAAAACAAGTAATGCTTAAAGAAAGAGTCTTCATATTTATAGATGAACATAGAAAAGTTAAAATAAAAATCTGTACCTTAATTTATAAAAAATAAAAATAAAAAAGTACTTTTACAAATCTCAACAATTACAAGAAAATCGAGAAAAATTTCTCAAATATTCAGGCTGGTAGATAATAAATAAATATATTGTTTAATAAATAAACAGAGCTACTACTCAAATATGTTTATCCACTAAAAATAACATTTAATAAAATCTGTCTAATTAATAAATAAAAATCCATCACTTTATATATATATATATATATATATATATATATTACACACACAGTGCAGCAGAAATATACCCCCCACGTAATTAGTGTCAATGGTATCTTCAAGCTAATTTCTTACCATTATGTGTATTTTTGATGCACTATATATATATATATATATATATATATATAAAAAATAATTTTTTTTTTTTTCATTCATTCACTGCTAGAAATAAAAAAAAAAAAAAACATTCAAAATTACCAGTTATCAACTTAATTTTAGTTGGTCTTTGATAAGTATTGTGAACTTGCAATATTTTTGATAGAGTAACTATTAGAAGATTTCAAACATTTCAAATGGAAACTGGACAGTCAATATTTGCTATGCAATCTTTACTTGGGTGTGCCTGTGAAGAGGGACACAACCCATCCGTCTATCTTGCCCTAAGCACACTCACTGCTGCAGTTGATGCTGTGCACGTACACTCTTAATGAATTACAGGACTTGAGATCGACTGAATAGAGAAAAAGAATCTACATTTGAATCTACTTTGAGAATTAAATTTAATAAATTGAACCCAAGTAATTTGTCATGATATTAAATGAAGGTAGATACAATTAAAAATATGAATGAATAAAAAAAAAAAAAAAAAAAAACACTAACAGCTGAAGTGCATTTTTTTTTTTTTTTTTAAGTCGAGGACTGGTTATAAATTACATTTCATGTATATTTCCTATTTGAAATCAGGAATGACAAGAAGAATTTCACACTGTGAATTTGCATAATTTTGTTTAAGAATAGAATTGGAATTTTTCCTCAACTTAAGGATTTTACAAAACAGAATCCTTTGAGTTTCCTCCAGAATTAGAGCTGACTGAAGGTACTGGCAACTCAGGCAGTTGCCTAGTGCGCCATCCTGCCGCCATATCATGCATTTGGGATTTTCCAATACTAAAGCTTATAAAAAACATACTTGCAATCATTCATGACTCAACATAGATTAAATTCTTTGGCTATTTTGTCAATAGAAAATGATCTTGTAAAGATATGTGCAGAAAGTGCTATGAAAAGATTTACAGATCTAAAGGCTAGAAAAAATATTTTAGGTACGGTAATGAATGTTTTCTTTAGCTTGTATTAAGTTGGTAATAAACTTGTTATTCAACATTTTTCAATTTTTCTCAATTTAAAAGAAATTATACTTGTAGGGTGCCGAAGTTCAGCTTGCCTGGGGTGCAGCCAGCAACCTTAGGACTGTCACTGACCAGAATGTTGTCTCAGGGAAGAAACTGAGTGGTAAGAGAAACTAAAAGGTACATAACGGAAGGTAGATAAGTGGTTACAGTGCAAAATATGAAAGACTGTAGCATGCACTCACCTGATCTACCATCTTCACCGTCTTTACCTAAAATATTATTAATGAGACTAATCAGAGCAATTAGTCAGCAGTAAAACTTAAGTGTATATGGATACATACAAAGGATGATGCAAGCTTTACATCACAACTTAAGGCTTATCAAATCAATGGTAATAAAAAAGATTTGGAATGATGGAGCACTCAAAACAATGGCGAGTTTTATAAGAGCAAAATTATATATACTAGGTGCAGCATACAGATTTACCCAGGATTAATTTTATCATAAAATTAAAAAGTTTTAGGTTTTGGTTATGAAAGTTGATTGTTATATTTATTGGCAATATTTTATATTATATACTTATAATTCAAAATGGTTGCCCTTTGCTTTTAATATAGCCTTTATCTATTCTCAACTGGAGAGCTTGACTTCTTCACCACCTCTTTGCTCAGATTGTACCATGGCATCATAAGAGCTTCTTTCAAGTCCAATATACTTGAGTAGGATATGTGAAACATTATTCTCCAATATGAGCCATATCACAACGTCCATTGGATCAATGTCAGGTATCAGCCAAATTAATTTGTCAGAAAAAATCCATAGAAATATCTCTTGCACTAATTCTGCATCAAATTTGCCATATGTGTAGGAGTTCTGTCTCTAGTGAAGACATAGCAACTTCCAAATATGGCTGTCCACCAGGGCAACACATCTCACTCCAACATTTACTGTTAAACCCTGCTATTCACTTTTACATCTTCTTTAATGAACACTGTTGGTAATTTTCAACCATCAGAAGCAACAGCTGCCCAAACCATGACACTAGTTGCTGTCTGTCACTTGAAATGTGTTCTGATGCCTTTGGAAATGATTCCTGGAGAAATGGCATAAACTATCATTCTGGTAGCTGGCCACAGCTTCCACTGGGAATCCATTAATTACTTGTATATATCTGTTTATATTTCAGAGATGAGGTATTGTAACTATTTACATTGTTCAGACTATTGTCCTCATCTTTATTGCCATATTCACCTTCAACATCTGTCTATTTCTGAGATGATGTATTGTAACTATTTACATTGTTCGGACTGTTGTCCTCATCTTTACGGACACATTCACAACATTTTCAGCTACTGTACACCCTGGCTTTCCTTAAGTGAATTTTCAACTAAATAGTGTAAATGCTTGTATATAACATGTTTTTCTTGTATGCATAAAAGTGTTTTCTTTTCTGGACTTAAAGTTAAAAAAAAAAAAAAAAAAAAAAAGTCTAAAATATGTTAATTTTTAGTACTTTTAGTTAAACTATTAGCAATTTTCAAGGATTTTTGTTTTACAACTATAGTAAATGGTATGCAGAAGTGCTATTGTAGATGGTATAAAAGTTACTGAAAAAGAGATATTCTTAAATTTCCAATATGGTCAGTACATTGAAGCATGTTAATAATTAATGTTATTAAGGGTTGGTTTTTTGAACATCTTGCTGGCAAAAATCAAGATTATATCAGATTAACATTATTTATGGATTTAAACACTCCATAATGAATTGCATTCCTGACATGGCCCTATAGATAAAAGCATTAGTTGATGGAGCCAAAAAGTGACTTGACCCAAGGAGTTGTGAGTTCAATCCCTGGCCTCAGCAAAGAGAACAAAGGCAAATTAACTAAAACTGACAAAAACAAATCCTCTGTGTGTGTATATATATATATATATATATATATATATATATATATATATATATATGTGTGTAAGATAAATACAAACCAGCTTTCCCCACACACATCTTTATACATATGTGGCACATAAAAGACTTTTAGAGAGTCTTGAGTGACTTTCTCCTTGTGTATTCTCATGTACTGCTTCAGCCTGGTGCTAGACCTGTAAAATAATATATATATATATATATATATATATATATATATATATATATATATATGTATGTATGTGTGTCTACACAAACACATTTCTACAGATATAAGTAAAAGCTCAAGAAATTAAAACTATCAAGTGATGCTTCAGAATCACTTAACAACAGAAGAGTTTTGAAAATAAGATTTTACATTGCATTCACACATTACAAAATTAAAAAAAAAAAAAAAAAACTCCATGAAAATAATGATTTCTTCATTTCAAAATAAATTCAAGAGGAAAATTCTTATTTAATAAAAGGATTAAATGCCAGAAAATCAAAAACTTACAATCATTGACCCTATAACAAAGATTACACTTCCATCGTGTGCGGTCCACAAAGCTGATGAATGGGTTAATGTAGGTGCGGCAGGTACGGCACCTGACAATCACAGTGGACGTTATCACAGGCAGCTGCTGGAAAAGGAAAAAAATTAAAAAATATGTCAATACAATTTGCCTTTTACTTCAGGCAGAAGGCTGGAACGTTACATCATATCCCCTTTGCATTCAAATATTCAAAGCAATAAGATTGCAGCTACAAATAAGAAATACAATAAAAACAATTAAAAAGGTATAAAAAATAAATTTATTGTAAAATAATTGATTGACCCAGTAGGCATTTCAAGTCAACTTTATTGCCTCAGATTTGTGAGGGCAGAAAGCAGAATCAGTGAGCTAAGTTCAAATTGTGGGGCTTGTCTGTTACGTTCACTTTTGTACAAATATCCTTCAGGAAGGCATTAATGCAATTCTTCTCTTCCTCCTCAGCTACGAGTTAAACAGCAGAGTAAACTCATCTCTCTTTTTTTTTTTTCCTTCTCTTAGTCTAGAAGGAAAATTGTGGAAAATGCATGGCAATTCACAGATAATAAAAAAAAAAAAAAAGAATCTGTGGAGAGCCATCTCTTAAAAGGAACATAGCATTAAAAATAAATCAAATTACCTAGAAGTTACATTTCTGCCACAATCATATTCCCAACACTATTAACAAGGTACCTCCACTAATTTGGTATGCATAAGGTTTTAAATGAATTTTAAAAAAATGAAAAGGCTTTTTGGAAGCTTTCATTTTAGCTTTAATTAAAAGCTAAAGGGTTTAAAATTTACTAAGCAAAATACTCTGTGGTGTATTTCAAACTGAAATTAGATTGATTGGAATCATTTTTTTTTTTTTTTTTTTTTTAAAAACAAAAGTTAATTCTTGGTTTAAAAAAAAAAAAAAATCAATCAAAAATAAAATATCATTTGAGGAAAATTAACAAATTTCAGTTAAATTAAACTGATTTGAAACAAATATTTCTTACTTGTAGCATGAAATGTTGTTTACAAATATTTCTTAACCACAGTCTTGTTTTTTCTGCCATGTTAATTGATTTATTGGCAGCCAAACATGTTCATAGTTAAGTATGGTGAAGCAGACAAAGTTCATATGAGGGTTTTTCACCCTTAAAATACGTGAACTTTTAGTGATAATGTTATAGGTTTGAACATTCATACTTCAGAAATTCTGCATGTATACATAGAAAAACAAATCAAAATTCTTTTAAAATATTCAGAATTGTCAGATTGTAATAAGCTTTATAAGATATAAATATAGTTTTATATAATAATATTTTCTAAGAGTTATCACATGGAAACTGAATTTTAAAAGATTTAAAAACTTAATAATTTATTCAATTTAAAATTGTAAAAAATGATAAATCTTGTACAAATTAATTTCTTCAGACAATATTATCTTTAATATATATCATACATAAAAGTAGTTAAAAGCTTCTCTAAATAATGTTTTAGTTGTATTGTTTTTCATTTTTTTTGATTTTGCAAAAAATTTGGTGATTTAAATTCTTCAAAAAATTCCCCCTTTAATTAATATAGTCACTAAAAATTATCACATTGAATTTTTTCAACTATTCACAAATTAAGTAAGATGAAACATGTTAAAAAAGTGATGATACAAAATTTAATAAACTGTGCAAAAGTTAACTCTTCCGCAAAATTTCTAATTAAAAAAAAAAACAAAAAAACTCATTAATAATGACTTTCCTAATTATATTGTTGATGAACAAATTAGACGAGCTATTAAAAATATTGACAAACCAAAAAAGAACATAATACTTCCTCAAATTACCCTAAACATATCTACCTACTATACCACAAGCAAATACAAACAAGATGAAAAAAAATCCTAAAAAAATCTCATAAGTACTAATATATACCCCACTGATCCCAGCAAAAAAAAAAAAAAAAAAAAAAAAAAATATATATATATATATATATATATATATATATATATATATATATACTAAATTTAATACAACCAACTTAATCATTGCCAATAACTCTTCTCCGTCAACTAATGTTTTGCAAAAGAGCAACAACATATATCAATTTAAATATCCTTTGGAAGATTGTATCTCTGACAAAAATATAAATATATATGTTGGCATTAAGATGACAACACTATCAAGAAGGTTTACTTTACACGTGACAGATTCAAGTTCTATTGTACAACATTCAAAAGAACATTCCTGCCCACATTCATATTTTAGAGAAATATTGATTAAACAATACAAGTATACTTCATCAGGAAAAATATCTTTAAAAAAATTTTTAAAACAATTACAGGTTGAGTATTTTTAAAATATTAACAATAAAAAAATTTAAACCAAGTTACCTCCCTTACATATTCTTAACATAAATTGACTATAACAGAGTGCATTTCATGCACATTTACAAAATAATTCACAACTCTCAATTGCATTAATTTTTGTCTTAACAATTCACCCCTGAAGATGATCTTGGATGAGATTGAAAGTACTTAAAAAAAAATAAAAGGAATGAGGAAAACTACAGCATCTTTCTTAATCAGTTTTGTAACAGCACTAAGAAATTGATCCATGAAATTGAGAGGTTAAAATAAAGAGAGATAATATGTCTAGATTATTCAACCAAATATGCTTGAATGAAGATAGATCTCTATATATATATATATATATATATATATATATATATATATATATATATATATATATATATATATAGAGAGAGAGAGAGAGAAAAAGAGAGAGTTGTGGTGCTGACCCAATGTCCAGCCCTCCTCATTTCTTAACTGAGTATGGTAACTGCCAAGTTGTTTCCCCACCCCTACCCCCTGTTAAAGTAACATTCTCCAAGATAATCTGCCATACATTTTCTGTGTTGGTAACTATTATGCCACTACCTTCCATCTTGGAAACAGAAACATTAAATGCTACATCACTTTCTGTTTAAAGCATTTCTTCAACTCAATTTAAATGACTAAAAGAAAAATGGAAAAGAATTTACTTTTGTAATTTCAAAAATAAATACCACAATCAAAACTCACCTAAAAAATGAAATGAATAAACCAAATTATTTTCAGCCATTCTTTTTTTGATGTACAGTTTGTGTGTCAATTAATTATCGTCTAAATCTTGACATTCCTTTTAGTTTAGGAAGCAAAATTTGCATTATAAAACTAAAGATCTATTGATTTGTGAATATTTGCTTAAGACATGAGCAAGAAAAAGAAAGGGAAGTGGAACTGACAAAAACTAATAATTCAATGGTAAACATTTGGAATTGCAATGGGATTGAAGAGGGACGTTTTTCTATGATGGAGGGAGAGATATATTTCTGTGACAGGCTGTAGTGGAGATATTATTACACTTGTACAAGATATTCTTCAAACAGAAGAAGGTGTAGAGTTAGTATTGTGTTGTATGTAACACTTGACTTGATATAGACCCCAAAGTCTTCCGCAAGGGAAAAAAAGAGATATATCTTGTCCCTATAGCATCCTGTGGTTGATGAGCATAAAAAACCTGTGACCTTTCCTTTTATAGTGCCACCTATAGTTGTAGAAGAGAACCAGACCAACATAAAAAAATGACTGACTAGAGTGTGTCTGTTGTACACAAGTGTTTTGTTTTAAATCAATGGCTGTTTGGAGAAGGCAATCTCCCAACATATATGGCATCAATGACGTTTGTAAATAAAATCAAAGTATAGATATATTTTTTTTTAAAAGTCAGGGATTGATTTGACACTATTATGAACAGACAAAAATGACCCCCCCACCACCACCAAAAAAAAAAAAAAAAAAAAAAATTTTTTTTCCAATTCTGATGAACATTGTGTACTTAGAGGAAGGTCTAATGAAGGCTTACTACAAAAATTATTCCAAAAGAATTTTTTTTTTAAATGGCAAACCAGTTAACTGCAATAGTGCTTAATCTGGTTTATAATCAAGATAGAAGAAAGATTTTATAAATACCAATTCACTTGATTTAAAATAATCATTTTTTAAACACTAAGTATCAAGAATCGACATGCATAATGAGAAAAGGTTTTCAAATCACTCAAATCTAATTTGGTTATGTCAAATAATTTCTATATTTTGAATCATCAAAATTTCAAAGGTCTAGTTTTATCTAACATTATATTGTGTCCTACAATCACAATCAACACTATGTTGGACAGCAGAAACAATGAGACGTGCTTGGTCATTAAGTTTTTATATTGAAACAAATGACAATGTAAAGAAGATTAAAAATTAATTTTTATAGTTAAACTTATATGATTAACCAGAAATAAAGTTAAAATTTGTAATCCTTTTAAAGAGGTTTTTTTTTTCCATTTTGAATAATTTCACTGTTGATCTGTGCCTATTTCCAGTCTTACAATAGATAATGAAAAAAACATTTTTTATCATGAAAATACTTCAAGATCAGAATGGACAAATTTGTAGTGATTTTCAAAATTGTATTTCAGTCTTAAAGTTTGGTTAACAGCATATCAACACTTTATGGGTCATTTAATACCAAAATTTTATTCTCTTCAAGGCTTTGGTAATTTTTTTTATTTTTTTAGTTTATTTTATTTCAAAAATGTATTGCTGCTAAACTTTTTGCTATGAAAATGGTTGCTGATAATTTTACTATAAAAATGCATCTTTATATCTTCATGATGCTTTAATCCTAGTTTGGGGGTTCACTATTTGCCCATAGCTGGGACCCTAACGGGTACTACCACCCCGGGTCAGGATGGACCTGGGAACAGCAATTAAGAGGTGGTTCCATGCTCCTCAAAACCTCCTAATAGAAGGCCTTGCTGATGGATGTAGGTTATCATCATACCCAGGATGAGTGTTCTTAATACTTAAAATTCAAACTAAGTAATTTTGATTACAATATACAAAAACATGCACAAAAAGCTAAGACATAAACCCAAAAGGATTGGTGGGGAAAAATGTGCCAAATCAAAATATCTAAAAAGGCCAATTTTAATTTGAATGAAATTATCTTCAAAAATATACAATATATAGAAATAAAGATTTTTGAAAACGCATACATACTGTAAGATCCTTAAATGGATGGATGATAACTCCCAATGGCAGGCGAGATTTGTTTAATAATGCAGAAGTTTGAGGTATAGCCATCAATGTACAGCGGAATATTCTGAAAAGAAAATTTTATATTAAAAAAAAATATATACATGAATTTCAATGTCCACAGCTGCCAATTATTCTAAACTTTAACAAATAAAATCTGCGAGATTATCTATATTGCATTGTAATAAAATCCAACAAGATAGTAGAATGTATGTTTTGAGTATTTTAAAATTTGGAAGTAGTGAAGAATTTATTCAAAGAACAAAAAACAAGTAAAAAGTCTCATGATAAGCAGGAAAATGAAAAGCTATTTCAGTAGAAATTTAATTTTTAATAATAAAGACCATTCTGAGTTGGTTTTCTTCATGGACCACCAAAATATCATTGTGGACCCTCAATTTGTTATATTTTGCCTGTGGACCTCCAGAAATATTACATGGACTCCTACGAGAACTTATGAATTAGATTAAAAATGTGTTTTCTGCACAAATTTTATTACTATATGCAAATGTTGTTTTCAAAATAACTTAATACATGAGACATGTTACAAATTTAATATACATCAATAAAATATTATGGCAAGATAAAAAACATCCCTGTAGGAGGATTTTATAAGCAAGTTCCATGATACTTTTACACACAGTGAAAAAATTAACAGGTGAATTATTTTTTTGTTTTCTTCACTTAGCAGCAATTTATTTAAGAAAAAAGATAGACATAACCAAACAGATAAATAATTAAATTAAATTATGTGGAAAACATGAGATGGATTTTGAGTGACCTCATCACAAATTTATTTCTAAATATGGATAAGTCCAGCCAACTGAAAGAGATCGTGTTTAAGGGCAATAACAGTGACTATATTTAGCAATAATAGAGATCATCTGTGTCCTCTACAAATGAGGGAATATGCTTGAAGAGCAGAAATCATGCCAGAATGAATTCAGGTGAGTAAAAAAAAAAACAAAAAAAACAAAAAAACAAAAAAAAAAAAAAAAAACCTCACAACTTATATTTTGAATTCTGGAATTTCCTCATAACTAAAATTATTCAAGATTATTACGTCTGTTTAAAAAGCTAATATGATGTACCTCACTTGTGATTTCAAGCATTTGTTAGCTGCACGTGAGAGTGATCTTCATCCTTTGGTTTTATAGTTTTCAACTCTGTCTTAAGTATTGTGAGATAAAGACCCAATCAATTTTACCACCATCCTCAACACTGCCACCAGATAGTGTTAAAAATAAATTGAAAAAAATAAATAAATAAATATATACCAAGTGACACCCTCCAATATTGTTTCTCTTTTATTTTGTTTTTTTATACCCTTTCTCTAACCATTAGTCCCAAAATCAAATTGAACAGATCAAATTTATTATACACAATAGGCCAGAAGTTTGGGGCCAGCCTCTTGATTTCAAAGAATTGCCTAAAAATTGAAGGTTGCTCATCTTTTTCAAAACTAATTTACTAGTTCACTTTTGAATGAACAGTTTTATCAATGTTAAATGTTTATTTTATGTTCAATGATAATTATGAAGAAATTAACACATTACTGCACAAAGTTTCTTTAAAATTTTAGCTTTTTTTTTTCCCTAACTTACCTTGCTGACTAACTGTAATCTTATTGTGGAGTAAATAACACATCTCCAGTAACATAAATGAACTATGCAAGACACCTTAAATAAAGAACTCAAAGTCAGTCAGGGAGAATTCTGACGTCACAGCTAGTAGCCTAAGCAAAGATATAATATTATAACCACTAGGAGTGAGTTATAACAAATCTTAATGCTGATGGATTTTAAATTTTAAGTACCCCTACTAACTCTCTAAAAAATTGGATGCCATGCACTAACGGATTAAATAGTTTCAGCATCCTAGCTTAGTAGGAGTTAGTTAAACCAAAGAAGGCATGAAACTTATTGATTATTAAACCAAGAAAGTGGTGTAATGGATACAGGGTTCAGAATGATAAACTGAAGAACAGAGTTCGATTTCTAACTGGCTTTCATTACATTCTCTTACATGCAAATACCCTTGGGAAAGATACAAATCCATCTCTTTACTCCATCTATAGGTTAAATAGCATGGCAGATCAGACTCTTGTTTTGGTAGGCAACCAGTCTAGGAGAAGGACAACTCTAAATTCAAAATCATAAGATTATTATGCAATAAGGATTGCACACTGTGATAAAGATACCTTAATCAAGCTCTCCATTAGATTTTGACCAAAGTGCTTAACTGAAAACAGCTCCTTGAGAAAGAGTTGTACAAGGATGCTGTAATAGATTATGCAACTAACAATGACGATGAGGGTGGTCTCAACATCTTGGCCTATAGTGTATGTGAGTCTTGCTACCTAAATTGGGTGATGGATCATGACGAGTGCTTCGTAACTGGAGCAGAGCCCCCGCATAACCCTACAATCATCATGGCATGCATAGGATAATAGCTGACCCCACCTGGTGAGGATATTACATCTGCCTCCGCAGGCTTTACTGATAACTGAGCAATTAAAACATTGATCTGAACAAGTTTTGTTACTTACTCAGGACTAACATTGGATTTACTAAATTCATTGGGTAAACAGTTGGCTGGTGTCTCCACTCCTTCAGCTCCAATCAACTGGCGCTGTTGCATCAGATCAATGACATCATTGTAGTCCTGAAAGACAGGGGGAAAAAAACCTTAAGCTAATGAACAGGCTGAGGCACAACTGATTGAACTGAACTAAAAAAAAAAAAAAAAAAAGAGGGGGGAGAGGGAGAGAGGGGAGAGAGAGGGGGAGAGGGGGAGGGGGAGAGGGGGAGAGAGGGGGAGGAGGAGGGAGAGAGGGAGAGGGAGGGGAGGGGAGAGGGAGAGAGGGGGAGAGGGGAGAGGGAGAGGGAGGGGAGGGGAGGGAGAGGGGAGGAGGAGGGGAGAGGGAGAGGGAGAGAGGGGGAGAGAGAGGGGAGGGAGAGAGAAAACAAAGGGAGACAACTAGTGTTTACCTGTGTGTTAAGGTTACTGAAATTTGCATTCAAATTTGCCATGTTTCCAGGACTGGAGTATGGCATGGCTTGTTGTGGGGACTGTGGCTGTGTGGCCATGGGATCACTAGAGTAGGACTGATTCATTCCAGTTTGGGGTGGAGGAGGCATACCAGCTGTTACTGCAGAATACGTCTGAACTGAGGAGGCTGGTGGAGACGTCATAGAAGGCTGTAAAATCATCAATTATCAGAAATATTAAATGTCAGAAACCAAAGAACAATCAGGAAAAAGAAAATTCTTTTAAAATCTAATATATAATGTGAATTTTCTATTAATGTATTAAAAAGAATTTACATTTAAGTAAGAAATTCTCAAGTGAAAAACAAAAAATTTTAAATAAGTAATCCAATGTTTATATTACTCAGACACTCATATATATATATATATATATATATATATATATATATATATATACATAGGTAATTTGGCAGACTTCTGGAACCATTGAGTCCTGAGTAATATAATTTACATTTAATTTAAAATAAGTTTCTGACAGTCAATGGTGTTGTAGAGATACAAGTGATGCATAATTAGTAGGTCAGAAGTTTATTATTGACTTGTTATTACGTCTTCTGTTGATCTGACAATATGAATAATCTGTTACCATTTTGCAATCAAAAGTACTAGAAGATCTGTGTGTGTGTGTGTGTGTGTGTGTGTGTGTGTGTGCCACACTTTCCTGTTCTCAGAAGAATCCACTATAAAGAGACAAGACAAGCCACATTCCTACGTAATGAACTCTTCTGTTGGTGTAGAAATAGAATTTTGTTATTTTATTTTTAAATCATATTTTTAAGTTAAGAATTGAAGATACAAAGTGTTTATATCAGAAATACTGTGCTAAAGAGACTCTGAAATTATGATAGTCTTTGTAGATAAATAAACTTTTTTTTTTAAAACGGAAGATATATTTAAATATCCGTATATAATAAAAATTAGTTTAACTTATTCTAAATGTTTTTGTTTATAATAGCAGACCAAGGTAGAGGATAGTTTACTTAATTTTGCCTTCAGTTTAATATTCAAATGTTGGAAATAAATACGAAAATACAGAGAAAGAATTTTTTTGGATATTCTATAAAGACAATACAATGACAAAATTATTTAATATTAATCATTTTGTGATAGAAAATATAAACATAAATTTGTATCATTTAAGCAGCATGTTTTGATCTAATCTCCAGGTAATTGCACAAATACATTTGTTTACCGGATATTTTGAATATCTATTGCAAGAATTTCAATTATATTTGGTACGTTTGGCACTGAAAGTGTTCAAAATATTTGTATGCATATTTTAAAATGGCATGTGCCAGCCAAAAAGATTCAAATAATTTAAGCCAAGTTAGTAAAATGTATTACACTTTAATCCAAAAATTCAAACTAATAACAATAAGTAAATATTTTCCAATAATCAAAACAAACCAGATACAAGTGCTATAATCTGACCTCCAATTGTTCAAACAATTTTTAATCTTATATTCATGAGGAAACTCGGGAGGGGAGATATGGTACTTGATGTTACCATTAACAAAACATAACAATACATTGTTATGCAAACCATTTTAAGATTTTGTCAGCATTTACCATAGTTCTAGCCTCTAAGTTGAGATCCAAATGTTGCTTGTAGTACCAAGTTTATAAAAAAAAAAAAAAAAAAAAAATATAATCAAGTAACAGTTAATTTGTTGAAAAACTAGATAATGTATCCAGAATTCTTGGGTAGGGCGTTATTATTTACAGTCAGACTAATATCCCCATCTCTGTTGTTTCAGTCATTATGCCCTCCAACCTTCTCAAGGTGTCTGTCAAACCAGAGAGAGGGAGGAGATGATAAGGTGACAGAGAGGGAGGAGATGATAAGGTGACAGAGAGGGAGGAGATGATAAGGTGACAGAGAGGGAGGAGATGATAAGGTGACAGAGAGGGAGGAGATGATAAGGTGACAGAGAGGGAGGAGATGATAAGGTGACAGAGAGGAGGAGATGATAAAGGTGACAGAGAGGGAGGAGATGATAAGGTGACAGAGAGGGAGGAGATGATAAGGTGACAGAGAGAGAAAGGGAGGAGATGATAAGGTGACAGAGAGAGAAAGGGAGGAGATGATAAGGTGACAGAGAGAGAAAGGGAGGAGATGATAAGGTGACAGAGAGAGAAAGGGAGGAGATGATAAGGTGACAGAGAGAGAGGGAGGAGATAAGGTGACAGAGAGAGGGATTATCAAGGTTTTATTAATTCATAACAATTGCAATTTTCAAAACTGTCCTGATTCTCATACCCAATACAACCAACTAGTTATGAAGGCTCCAAAGTAGTTTTCTTTTTTTTTTTTTATTTCAACATTCTCCTGGAAACATTCAAAAATTTTTAAACTGAATATTTTTATATGTTAACGTTCTTAGTTAAGAATAACCTTTCTTAGACTTTAGTTTAAGAATTGTGCTCAATACATTCATTTTCTATATAAAGAATATTAGTGAATTTCAAATATCCATGATCAAATTTTTTTAAAGTCTTTATAAAAAAAAAAAAAAAAAAAAAAAATTATTTACAATTACCTACTTTGCATCATGACTAAATTTTCCATGCTTAAGTTTTTAAATTCTCCTTAAATTTTTTTTTTTTTTTTTTTTTTTTTTTTTTTATCACGTTCATGTCAATCAAGGCAGTAAAGTCATTGAGACACAAGGGGTTACTGAGTGTGGAAGAATTAGAAACAAGAACAATTGCTAGGGAGCAAGAACAGAGGAAGAGTAATCAGGAGGACAGTAGACAGCAATTAATATTGCACTTAAGTTTTTGTAGATTAAAGTTGGCTGGAAAAGATGGAGCCAGAAGGGAGTTCCACAAGCAAAAAGTGTGACAAAAGAAACTGTTAGCATAGAACTTACTTGGTTACATATAGTCATCGCAAATGTTAAATGGTGAGACCTCATCGCCAGTCTAGTACTGTGCTTAAATTCAAAGAGTCTAGGCACCATAGTGAAGAGCTCACCCAAACAATTACCATGGAATTATTTATAGAAAAATCAGGGGGGGGGGGTTGCAATCACATAGATATGAGAGATAGACGATTTTTCTCTCCAGAGTATCATCATACAGTGAACCAACCTTCCTAGCAGCTAACCTAAATATAGTCTTTCCACTTCATATCAACCAAAAATGTTAGCACAAGGTGCAGAGAGTGACTCTCCTGGAGGTTAGCATCAGCCTTGCTGATGTAAGGCAGAGAGTATTCTCTGACAATTAATGGAGAGTAGTTTAGTTTTGGAGTTCTTAAAATTAACAAGCTATTCTTTGCCCCAGTTAACAACAGACTGAAGTTTGTTTTTGTATATCAGATGCCATTTTGATTGTGTCAAACTGATCAGACAGCAGTAAATGGTTGTGTCATCAGTATAGATACCAAGTTGAGAGCTGATGTCATTGTGGAGGTCATGAATGAAAATCAAAAACAAAGTAGAACTAAGAATGGAGCAGTGAGAGTCACCTGTATTAGTATGAAAGAAATTGTAAGAGTGGCCATTCAAGATTTTCATTTCACGATTCGATAGGAAAGATTGGATCAGTTCAAAAATTTGTCCTGAGATACCATAACTTTTCAGCCTGTGGAAAAGAAGACCTCCATGCCAAAACCTGTTGAAATTTTTTTGAGATGTCCAAAGCTACAGCCCAGGCTTCACAGTTTTTATCTAGAGCTTGATAGACTCTTTCCACAATTATCGTCAATAAATTAGCAATTGACCCAGAGAAATGAGAGCCATATTGCTTGTCTGAGAAAAAGCCCTGCGATGTGAGATGCTTAACTTATTCTGCATTAATTAGGGCCTCTAGAAATTTCCCAAAGAGAGGTAAAATGTCAATAGGCCAATAGTTGGTTAATTGGTTAAGTTGGCAAAAGGTTAATTGGTTAAGTTGGCAAAAGGTTAATTGGTTAAGTTGGCAAAAGGTTAATTGGTTGTTGGCAAAAGGTTAATTGGTTGGTTGGCAAAAGGTTAATTGGTTAAGTTGGCAAAAGGTTAATTGGTTAAGTTGGCAAAAGGTTAATTGGTTAAGTTGGCAAAAGGTTAATTGGTTAAGTTGGCAAAAGGTTAATTGGTTAAGTTGGCAAAAGGTTAATTGGTTAAGTTGGCAAAAGGTTAATTGGTTAAGTTGGCAAAAGGTTAATTGGTTAAGTTGGCAAAAGGTTAAGTGGCCAGTAGTTGGAAAATTGCAATTGTTATGAATTTATAAAACCTTCAGTATCTTTCTATATTTCTGAGATGAGGTATTATGTACATTATTTACATTATTCAAACTATTGTCCTCATCTTTGTTGCCATATTTATTACAATGTTTTGTATGTTCCAGCCTTCTTCAGGTGGTTGGAATGTCGAACTGAACCCTTTATTTCACTCACTGAGGTAGACGGTTCTAGTTCCATGGTTAATGGATGTCAGTTATCAGTTATCTCCTGTTAATTTTCCTCTGAAAGTTCTCCACTGCCTTAACCGGGTATTGAACTCACACTCTTTTGGTCCTGTCACTGGATCTAACTAACTGTGCCATGTGTTCTCAAGGACACATGGCACAGCGGATAAAGGGATTGGTTAGATCCAGTGACAGGACCGAAAGAGTTTTGAAAATTCTTACAAAAATAAAATTGTTAGATTTTAAGGAAACTTTCACAACACAAAAAAAAAAAATAAAAAATAAAAAAATAAAAAGAACCTTTCAGGCACATAACTTTTATTTTATTTTTTTATTTTTTGCCTTTCTACTGATACATTTGGAATACTGAGGCTTTTCCTGTTGGGTTACTTTTAAAATTTTGTACATTCATTTTAAACTTCACACACTGAGCAGTAATCAAGACAAATAAAACTTCTGCGCATTACTAAAGGCAAACGTATGTAAACAAAACCATTAATAGCGACCATTCTGTAGCTGTGGCACGAATGCGGTCAAACTTATTGCTGAGAACTCCTAAATGGTATTTGAGCACAAACTTTTACTGTTATTTTTTAAATGATCAGGTAATTTCACACCATAATGGAAAATTTTAATTACAATTGGTTTTTGGGGGGTTATAATGCAAATTAACCCAATTTTTTTGCTTTGTTAATTAAAGTAAAATTACCTCTGACAATTAGATCATTATGTTTGTCACATTTAAAGATCAATAATACAAATATCTAAATTTAAATCATTCAGTCTTCAATTTTCATTCAATAGTTTAAAACAAAGCATTTATGGTTTGTTTATTTTCTTATATGTACATGCACTTTATATATTAAACCCCACAACTGTTAGTGAAAAGTAAGAAATTATTTTAAATAATTAGTTGCTTTTATAATATAATAGAGTTTAAATTAAACATTTTGTATATTTCCCAGCATCATTGTAAAAAGCCTAACTAGTTGTCCCAAATTGGTATTCTATCATCCACAGGACAACAGGCACCTTGAGTTCTAAAAATTACAAATCGACGATTTTTCTACTACAATCATATTTCCAATAGTCTCTTATCTTTATTATAGACCCTATTATGCAACAAAGTATATGAAACAATATTTTTTCTCCATTTTGAATATGAGCTTAATTCATGAAAGATTTGAGCATTGTTATTAGCATTGGTAATTTCTAAATTATGACTGTTAATCAATTTCATTTTATTAACATTATAGAATCTATTTAATTTAACTAGAAAATGAAATTTTTTTTCAGTCTATATCCATATATTTTTCATAGCTTCCTCTCCCCCCATCCTTTTTTTCATAACTTCATCTACCCTAATCTTTCTCCACCCTTCTATGCTATATTTATTAATCCTTTCTTTTTTCTCACCTTCAATCCTATACAATGCAGTGTTATCAGCCCTATCAAGAACACACAAGCTATATTTCAATTGCAGTCAGAATTTCAAAGATAATTAAACTTTTGCATGAAAGTAATTTGAATCACTTCTTTCAGTCAAGAGACAAATGTGACAATTCTTTATGCTCAATTAAAAACTGCCATTTTCTTTATAACTTCTGCAAATATTTTTATAATCATCTGTCCTTGTCAAGTGCAAATTTCATATTTCATATTATTGCTTTTGCAATCTAAGCTAAATTATGACTGTTAATCAATTTCATATTATTAACATTATAGAACCTATAATTTAACTAGAAAATAAACATTTTTTTCTGTCTATAATTCAAAAAAATAAATTTTTAATTTTCAGGTTGATTTTTTTTTTTTTTAATTTCAAATACCAACCATAAAAAAAAAAAATTGAATATTCATTTGTGACTTAATAATTAAAAAAAAAAAAAAAAAAAAAATAATATACATTTTATTTTTATAGCCAGATACTGAAAACCAGTTTACCATCTGAGGGTATTGGCGTTTTCCAGTAATTCCTCCCTGCTTGGGCGGAGGTCCAGGCATGCCCTGAGGAGGTACTGCAGGTGGACCTTGTGGTACCACTGCAATATCAAAAAAAAAAAACATTCATATTAAAATACAATAAAAGACAGTAAAAAAGGAATAAAGCAACTCAGTAAATAAAATCCAAGAAATAGAACCTGGGGAAACTGCATTTATAATTCTACTTTACATAGAAATCTTAAAATCCAAAGAAAGATTTTATATTGCATATTGAAACTAATGACTAAAGTATAGAAAGTGATGGCAATTAAGGAAAAAATAAACACACACACATGACAAATAAACTAAGATCAAGTAGGCCAAAATATATAACACGAATTAACATCCCATACATCCTATCACGTCAGCCACGACCATCGCAGAAACTCGCATCAGTCACAGCCATCACATCAGTCATGGCCATCATAGAACAACACATCCCATCGTGTTAGTGGCAAGCATCATAGAACCATACATCATATTAATGGAACAAGATCATCCAGAATAAAGATAGTCTACATGATTTATTTCCAATAAATGTTGGTCAGACCTGCAAATAAAGCCTGGTATAATTTCATGACGAGCAATATAGACATGGTATTAATTATTATATAAAGTAAATAGAGAAAAAACAAATGTTTTCAATACAATTACAATCATATTTGGAAAATACTTTAACAAATATATTACAAACATTCCACATCAAAAACAAAAAAAAAGAAACAGAAAAAATACAAATACTAAAAGTGGGGAGTAGCAGTGTAGAAGGAAATGCGTTGTAATCTTTTGAGACTTGATTTTCCTTAAATATTTCACATAAAAAAAAACATTAACCCCTTTTGTGATTTGCTTTTAAATCATTAACATAAATGAGATTTTATGTGAATACTAGTTTACCTATGCCACCAATTTCTGAGAGTATTGTTATTTGAAGTTTTTGAGTTTCTTTAAATATATTTTTCCAGTTAGTGCAATGGATATCAACATGGAAAGTGGAATACATGAGGTTTGTCTGTTATCTTCACTTTCATAATAATACCTGAGAGAAAGGCAGTATGAATCCATCTCTTCACTCAACTCCCAGCTATGGGTTAAATAACAGAATAGGCTAAGCTCTCATGCCTTGAATGGCAACCAGTGTAAGTGAAGGAAAACTTAATTTCAAACTATAGAGAAGGCAACAGGACAACCATTCTACTATCTTTACCAAGAATGTATGGCAATTTACAGATAAGAAAAAGAATCTGTAGAGATCCATGGTCACCAAGTCACGTCTCAAACGGACTAACATTAAAATGTAAGTTTCAACCTGGAAATACCAAGTGAAACTACGATCATCTCTTTGGTTCTTTGCTCTGCTGCTATAGCCCACAGGAATCACTTCTTTCAGCTCTACCAGAGTGACAGATCTGATTGCAACAGACCTCTCTTTGTTTCTGCTCATAATAAGTGCAAGCGTGTCCTCAAAGAAGAGAGTCATTGTTTGCTGATAGAATGAATCAGCATATAACCTCTCACAAATTCAATTCTAGAGATTATTGACGGCTCTGCAAGAGTCTGCTGAACAGCAAATCATCAATGACTCCTCTCTTCAAGTCCTGACATCTACAGCAGATAAGATTCAGTGCTTTGCTCAGTTCTCCAACTATACACTTTACTCATCTGGAGTACCCATAACTGATTTCTCCCCTAGAACGAAGGCTTGACTGAGTGATATGCACATAACCTTGTCGCTGGTTGCAGACATCATTTCCAAAGCAGACTCCCACAAATGCGGATGCCCTCCCCCCAAGTCTATATCCTGGGTCCTATGCTGTTTCTGATCTTCATCAATGCTCTTCCTGATGTCATCATTTCCCCAGTAGGCATTTATGCAGATGACACTACCATTTACTCCTGTCTCAATAACAAATCCATCAGAGCTGACAAAGTAAACCTGGCTGCTGCTCTTGAAAAGGACTTCCAATCAGTGGTTAAATGGAGCAAGAAATGGCTTGTAAATTTTAACGCTTCCAAAACAAAAACAAAACTGCTTTCACTTAGCCACCATAGAGAACTTTTTCTGCCTACCATCAGCATGGCTGACGCTATATATCAGGAGAGCAACAAACTACACCTTCTTGGCCTCACGTTTTTCACTGACCTGAAGTGGAGTGACTACATTGAATCAATAGTTACCTGGCTGCTGCTCTTGAAAAGTATTCAAGGCTCCAATCAATGCTGAAATGTTTAAGCGTCTTACTTCTCACACCCTCCTCTCAAACAAATAATATGGCTTCTGTTTTGCCAGGTGTACCGATGATGTATTAATGGTCATCACTGAATTTCTACAAGTTTTGATGTGCTGGCCTTCTATGCAAGCTCTAGAGCTATGACATCACAGGACAAAAGGTTTGATTTAATACAATTATTCCTATCAAATCATGAAAAGAAGGTTAGTTTGAATGGACTTGCTTCCAGATGCTTTCTCATGAACATGTGTATCCCCCCAAGTCTATATCCTGGGTACTATGCTGTTTCTGATCTTCATCAATGAGCTTCCTGATGTCATTTCCCAAGTAGACATTTATGCAGATGACACTACCATTTTACTCCTGTCTCAATAACAAATCCATCAGAGCTGACAAAGTAAACCTGGCTGCTGCTCTTGAAAAGGACTTCCAATCAGTGGTTAAATGGAGCAAGAAATGACTTGTAAATTTTAACACCTCCAAAACAAAACTGCTTTCACTTAACCACCATAGAGAATATTTTCTGTCTGCCATCAGCACAGCTGATGCTAGACACCCAGAGAGCAACAAACTGCACCATCTTGACCTCACATTTTCCACTGACTTGAAGTGGAATGACTATGCCGAATCAATAGATGCATCTACTGCAAGGAAAGTTGGATCACTGTGTCATGCCATAAAATCTCTCATCAGAATCCATCTTCCACATTTACAAATCTACCATTTGTCCATACATTGCATACTGTTGCCATATCTGGTCTGATGTCTTGCTGTACATCTTGAGATTGACAAAATCCAAAGAAGGATCTGCAATATAATCAATCCTGACCAGGCATCTCAACTTTAGTCACTTTCTCACCAATGTGACGTTGTTTCTCTCCATCTTTGCTACAAATATTTTCATGGCAACAGCTCAGATAAGCTTTTTCCCCCCTGGTACTCCAAATACATGAATTTAAATGTGCTACTAAATTGTCATCTAGGTCACACCCGTTTATTGTTGAAATAGCTAAATGCAACTGCCAATTCTACTCCAACAATATTTTTTTCTCTCACATTTCCCACCTGTAGAACACACTTCCATTTACTTGATTCCCAGATAAATACAATCTTCAGAAATTTAAATGCAACATCAATTGCCATCTTTTGTCTTCTTGAATCCCGTTCATCTTTTGTCTACACACCATTCTTATCATTCTCTTTCATTTTCACTCCCTGTGAGGCCCTGTGCACTCATAGCATTCCCACCTCGCTTAGGGTGAAATGATTAAATAAAAATAAAGATATTGTCTAGAAGTTATTTTTCTACTACAATCATATTTCCAATAGTCTCTTATTATTATAGACCCTATTATATAACAAAGTATATGAAACAATGTTTTTTCTCGATTTTGAATATGAGCTTAATTCATGAAAGATTTGAGCATTGTTATTAGCATTGGTAATTTTATATTTTTTTCTTTTACAAGAATGGTGTCAACTAATTTTCAATAGTGAATCATTTTTATAGATACAAAATAAAACCAACACATCTTTTTCAGATGCATGCTATTTACAAATATCAAAATCAAAAAAACAAAATGTTATATTAAACAGATTTAATGTAAAATCTTATTAAATGAAAAAGAAAAGCATATGGCATAAAAAGGAAAAAAGAAAATATATTTACTTGGTGGTGGCCCTCCACATGTGAACTGACCCTCTAGCGCATCATACGATTGATTAGCAATGGGAGATGGGGCCCTGGATGATCTCTGTGATGGGGGTCCTGCAAGGAACAAGAAATAGATTAAACTTTAAATAAAATTTGACTTTTCCCATTAGCCATTAAATTTCTATAAGATCCCAGTGATAAGTAGCTATTCTGAAAAATCCATGAACAAATTTTACCTTCATTATAATGACTTTTCTAAAAGACCAACTGAACTGTGTCATGACGAGTTGAATGTCAATCCAGCTAATAGCTTTTGTAGTTTCAACTTTAGACTGCATGAGAATTTGAAAATATTAAATTATTAAGCACTTGTGCTTCTTATTTAAAACAATTAAGTTTGACCTCCATTTATTACAGCTTAAGCCAATCAAAATACGAAAATGTTCATTTGGTGAGCAATTAAAATTATTTATCTATGTAAGTTTTTAAAAAATATACAGCAGTTAGAAATGGTTAAAATATTGCATTTTAACCAAGTTTATGATGCTTATATACAAATTCCAGTATTTGCCATAAAAGGCAAAAGAAGCGAGAAAAATCAAGTTAGAGTTGAAATGGAAGAACAAGAGGAGAGTCATTTTCAGCAGAGTTTCAACATGCTGATTTCAAGGATGAATTATTTAAGCTTTTTTTCTTCTTTGTTTTTTTTTTTGGTGGGGGGGAGCACATGATAAAAGATCTTGTATGAGTTGTGAACTGAATCTAAGCTCTTAGACAGATCACTAACAAGCCACTATAAACAAACTGGCATCTTCATTCCTGGCTTACCCTCAGATTTGTGAAGAGCTTATGGAGATATTTAAGTGGCCAATAACATCATTTTTATCTCTCATTATTGTTTTTGATAATCATAAAAAAAAAAAAAAAAAAAAATTTGTAATTGCATTTTCTGGAAAATTACATTTTTGTTTGGTAAAAAATGTTAAAATTGTCCCTCAGATAAAATTTTGCCATTATTTTTAATTTTTTAATTATTTTTTTTTAATTTTTAAAAATGAGTATATGTAGTTTTGTAATGCACAATTGTCTTACTTTTAAGAATCAGCATGTTAAAAGAAATAAATCAACTGTGTTCCCTTGAGAAAAATTAAAGACAGTCAGTCAGGCAAGAAGTTAATGATTGTTTTTGCTTATTGGAATGAATGAGTAAGAAGTTAATGGAAAAAGAAGAACAGATTAAAAAAATTGATGGTCCTGTGGAATGAAATGCAATTTTTAATTAGCATTTATTTTAAATGAAAATAAAAAAGCAAAACATTTATCCATGATGAGTTTCCAATCCCCAACAATCCCTGAATGGGAGGATTACAGCCATTTCAAAATATGAAGAAAACACTTCTTCAAAATGTTTCTTTTAAATGTTGAAAGATCTTCAAAGAAAATAGAGGCTTTTTCTTTTGCTTTAATATTTTTAAAGTGTATTGATTGATAATCACAAGATTTTTTTTTTTTAAGACGAGCAAAAAGAAAAGAGAAAAATAAGGCTTAATATCAAATAGGTTAAATGTTCAATCAACATTTACCCAGCAAACATATTCCAATCACAAAAGCAATCATTAAACAGAAAAGCAGCTTTTGTTTTTGAAAGGTACTTGGAAATGACAATATGAAATTAACAATTACAACAGAAGAAAGCAAAATAAAGATGTGCAATTACTTTTTTTTTTTCCTTTAATAGAAACCCAACAAATGGTTTTGTATTCAAAAGACATTATTTTTCGTTAAGATTTTATCTACTGGCATTTTAGATTACGGCTGTCACTTGAGAATGATTATCGACCACAATAGTTGAATTGAAAAAAAAAAAAAAAAAAAAAAGAAAAGAAAAAAAGAAAGAAATGAAAAACAGAAGAAAACAAAGAAACCATTCAAGCTGATCATGTTCACTGTGGATAGATGAGCAAAATAAATATCTAAGCTAGAATTTTTTCTTGTTGAAGGAGGGGAAAACTGGAAGGGTTTAAATGTAAAATACAAATTAAAGTCAACGGTAATAAAATATCGAGAATTAGATTCAGGAAATTGGAAAAAAAAAAAAAATCTTGCAATTTTATATTTACATGAACACATACAAAGAATTTGTAATTAAATTACAATGTAACCGACAAGATTCAAATTACATCTAATAGAAGGAAAAAAGATTAGAATATTCATTCCATGTAAAAAAGCTTTCCACCTGTCAAAGCAAAAATGATTTTGTTACTCTAAACTATTTGACTAAGAGTGACTTAGTGTCAAAGAACTGTCAGTTATAATTATTGTTTTATTGACATGCCCCAGAATACACAATTATGAGACCAAGAGGTGGAGGTATGGGAAAGAAAAGGATTAAAAATTTCCAACAAAAATCAAGTGGAGCATGTGCCTAATGTTGTCATTGGTAATAACAGTTAAATAAGCCCTTGTATAAGAGGGTGTTTTTAAAAAAAAAAAAAAAAATTATCTTTTCCAAATCAGCATTTTGACTGAAATTCTGATTTCAGGAAGTGGGTCAGAAACTTTTCAGCATATGCTCTCATCACAAGTTATCCTCGTTCACCTTGACCGAACAAGCTCACAACCAAAGGATAAGCCAAACAGAGAGAGGCATGGTATATAAAATTCTTCAAATCCTTCATTTTTGTAAGCTTAGAACCTGGCTTTGTAAGCACAATCTGCATTTGGCATTGTCTACGGAAAACAAATTCAACAAGTGACTGAATTTGTCTATTTTGGCCACAAACTTTCAACTTCAAATGATGGTGCAGTTTCTATTCCATCTAGAACAGATCTTGGCTGGATAGTGCTTAAAAAGAATAAATCACTCCTAAAATCCTCTCTTGCAATCCTTAAACAAAGATACACAAAACCATGAATTCTAGAGTGGATTATCTGAGCACACATTCTGCTAAGGGCAGAGAAAGTGTTCTATGATGATTGTGAATTACCAAGCTATTTTCTTAACAGTATGTCATAATGATTAAGGGTTTCAAAAGAATCACACATCTTAGCACATCAACAATGAAATGTGAAGAAAAGGATGCACAAATGTACACACTAAATGGGTAAAAAAATAAAAATTTGTTTTTAAAGGATGGTTTTGATACTTATTTTCACTTGAATTATATACAAAACTATAAAAGTCGTATTTTTTAGATTATAAAAATCAAGAGCAAGGAAATAAAACAAATGTTGGGTTCCGTAACTTAATATTTTTTTTTAAGACAATATGATAATCCTTGAATCCTATGCACAATAAAGTTGTGCATTCTCTGCACCAAGTTGTCACCATTTTTTGCCTCTATTCTCCTTGAGAAATATATATGCTGATATTTTTTTTATTTATTTATTTATATTTTTTTTTTTAATCAGTTCACCCCAAGCAAGGTAGGAATGCCCCTAGTACACAGGGGGTTAGAGTGAGTGAAAGTGAGAGAAAAGATTGTGTATAGAGGGGATTGAGGAAAGGATGAAAGATGAACAGAACAGAAGACGGCAAATGACATTGCATTTAAATTTTTGTAGATTGCATTTATCTAGGAAGCAAGTAAATGGAAGGAAGTTCTACAGACGGGAAGTGCGAGAAAAGAAACTGTTGAAGTAGAAGTGGTGGTTACATTTAACTATTTCAACAGTAAAAGGGTGGGACGTAAATGTCACTCTTAAATTCATGAAGTCGGGGCACAAGAGAAAAAAGAGCTTCTCAGAGCAGTTGCCATGAAAATATTTGTAGAAAAGACAAAGGGAAGCCACAGCACATTGGTGAGAAAGTGACTGATGTCGAGATGCCAAGTCAGGATTGCAGATCCTTCTTAAATTGTCAAGAACCTTGAGATGAATAGCATGAATATCAGACCAGATATGGCAACACTATTCAATGTACAGACAAATGTTTGATTTGTAAATGTGCAAAATAGATTCTGACAAGAAGGCACAATGAGACACTGTCCTGGAGTTGAGCATCAGCCATGCGGATGGCGGGCAGGGAAGTTTCTCTATGGTGGTTAAATGAGAGTGGTTTAGTTTTTGGAGGCATTAAAATTTACAAGCCATTTCATGCCCCAGTTAACCACTGATTGGAGATCCTTTTCTAGAGCAGCAGCCAGGTTTATTTTGTCAGCTCTGACAGATTTGCTATTGAGACAGGAGTAAATGAAGAAGATCAGAAACAGCATAGGACCCAGGATATAGCCTTAGAGGACATCCACATTTGTATGAAAGGATCTGGAGGCAAGCTCATTTAAAACGACCTTCATTTTATGGTTTGATAGAAATGATTGGACTAAATCAAACAATCATCCTGCAATACCATAGCCCTAGAGCTTACATAGAAGACCAGCATGCCAAACCCTGTCAAATGCCTTTGAGATATCTAGAATCAAGAGCTTGCTATACATATACCTTTAGCTCATCAGCTGTAGATGTGGCAAAATGAGAACCATATTGTTTGTCAGTGAGTAGGTCATGACAGGTAATATACTTAACCACTTCAGCATTGATTAAAGCTTAAAATACTTTGCCAAATAGGCAGCAGGAGACTAATCAAGCAATAGTTAGAAAGGCCAGAAGCTTCTCCAGAATTCTTAACAGGAACTACAGAGGAGGGCTTGCAACAAACTGGGAGGCAATTGTTGTAGAGTTTGGAGAGAACTGGAACAATCTCAGGAGCACATTTCTTTAGCATTGTCTTTGGCTTGCTCCTCCAGATTTAATTGCAGGCAAATATCCCAGGAAATAATATAACTACATGAATGCCAGAGATGTCAATTAGTCATTTAGACTTAAATCAAGAATGAATGATGCCTGTATCATTGTGAGATCAATTTATGATATCTGCTGATCTTCAATTTAACATCAATTTAAAATGTCCACCATTTAAGGATTAAAGAGTTAATATGAAGAAAATAAAAACCAATCAACATAAATATACATAAAATCCTTAAATGCAAGAATATGTCAAGGACATAAATGCTTATAAATAAAGCATAATTTGTAATTTGTCTGTTATAAAAAAAAAAAAAAAAAAAAAAAAATCGCACATGCCCGATTGTAAATTGCAGTTGCTTCAACCTCAGTATGCAAGCAAGAACAAAGTTAAAAAGGCACCCAATAAAAAGATACAAGTTCTCAAGTCTATTAAACTACTGCTCCTATAGTCATATCTATTTAATCAAGTCAGAAAACAAACAAGTATGTCTTATCTTCAAAGATATATAGATGCATGTTTCATTAAATAATATAGACAAGTTTTGTCTATTTATTTTAAGTAAGTTCCTTTCATATTGTCTGATAAAATTGAAAGCGAAAGGAAATCACCATATTGATACATGTATCAATATGGTGATTTCCTTTCGCCTTTCAATGATAATATTATTGCTTATCAGACAATATGAAAAGAACTTACTTAAAATAAATAGACAAAACTTGTCTATATTATTTAATGAAACATGCATCAATTAAAAATTGCTGCCTAATATATATATTATATTATATATTATTTGTGGGCATGAGGCTGATTAGTTAGAATATATCATCCCGACCATGAGACCCAGATCTAAATTTCACCATGAGCAATTCATCAAGGTGACATTTTGACAATATTGGGCATAGGGAGAAGATCCTAGCATATGTCACTGTTGGGAAGTTGTTTGAAAACCATACCACGGGTTGACCCAAGCCCTGTGATTGAAATTGGGTAGACAAAACTGTTTAAATCTATCAATGATGATCTGTCCAGCATATTTGCAGTTTAAACTACAGGTTGGCTGTGGATGTTGAAACAAATGTGTCTGAGCAGACATTTAAAACAACAATTAACTACCACTCTTGTAAACTCCATAGTCTCCCAAGACAAATTTTATATATATATATATATATATATATATATATATATATTATTTAAATATAAGGATCATATTTCCCATTTTATTGTTAAAATGGGTACAAAAGTATCTCTAAGAAAAAAGGGGTGGATTTAAGACACCTTTCGACTGACACTTCTTCAGAAAAATAATTATAATTGACTCCAAGATATCTAAATGGAGCTTCATTCTAGCCTTGCATATGACAGAAAAGAAATCAGAGGCGAGGATCGCCCAGCATGTTCTGGGTAAAATGCATAGGCATGAACCAATTACATCCGGGTGTTCGCAGACTCATGAGTTAGCGATTGGTGAACACTTTAAATTCTGTCAATTGCAGGACGAATTATTCTCCCGATTTCTTTTGTCATATGCAGGGCAAGGACAAGACTCCATTTCGATATCTTGGAGTCTATTATTATTAATATGCAACATCCTGCCCTGTGTAGACAGACAGAGATGAAATTCAGGTTGGCCTTATTCAGGGAGATTACTGCTTAAACTAGAAAATATTTAGTATTCATAAGGTTTTTTTTTTTTTTCCTCTTCCTTTAATTTTCCACCTCTTATTACATCTTGGTAATCTATTGTTTTTAACATCGGTCGTTGGTAATAATTTTCTTATCAACTTCTTTGTTTTATACTGCCAACGGTTATTTTTCTGAAGGAGTATCAGCCAAAAGATGCCTTAACCCCCCCCCTTTTTTTTTCTTAAACAAGATACTTTTGTATCTATTTTAAAAATAAAATGGGAAATATGATCCTTATATTTAAATCAGTTTTGACTTGGTGTGGCAGTAAATAGAACCTATATATATATATATATATATATATATAAAAATGATGTCGGGGGGCATAACTTTCTGACAATCTATAAAAGATAAGCTATGCAAGTTTATTAACTATTAAAAAGATTCCAGCATTTGTCCTAACCTTATAATTTAATATTTATTGCTTACATCCAGAAAAATAACATTTAAATAAATTTCTTTTTGTTATAATAAAAGCTAAATACAAATTGTTTATAGATCTCTTACCCATTCAATACAGAAAATATTCACCTATGCTTTATCATAATCAGTCAAATTTAGTTTTGAACTCTCACCCTAATAAATTATACTTTTTCTCATTGCTACATAAACAAGACAGACAAAAGATGCCAAGATAAATTCTCCTATTTACAAATCCCAACATAATCTTGGCAAAAAGTAAGATTGTTAGCTATTTTAAAGTAATATTCAATAGCGAGAATTGGATAAACATGAATGTTGTAATTCTTGTTTTATATTTGTAGCCCTCAAAATCTGCTTTAGACATTTGATTTGCATAATAAAGAAAAGAAGTCAATTCACAAGTTTCATCAAATTCACTGACAAAATACAAAGAAAAAAAAAAAGTTAAATTAATGAAATGTTATTTAATGCAAGAAAAACTGAATCAAAATCAAAACCAAAAAGAAAAAAAATAATTATCTTTGCAGAAATGAATAAATAAAAACTGGTTTGTCAATATAAAAGAGTCTTTATTACAATGAAATCTCATTCACTCGACAAAGGCAGAAATATCTTTGCAAGGTTTCCATCAAATACATTCCTAAAAGACAAACTAAGCTTTTTACAACAGAAAAAGTAGAAATGTGAATTCTTGTAGTGTCTCCATTGGATTGGAGAAAAAAAAAAAAAAAAATTTTTTTAAAGTTTCATTTACCAGATAATGAGTATTATATTTATATTCAAAAACAACAAAGAAATTTGTTACCACTTCACTGAAAATGAAAAGAAACGAAAAAGTGCAAAGGTAAAAAGAAAATGGCAAGAATAAGAAGACAAAAGAAAAAAAAAAACCAAAGTCTCCTTCAATTTGTACCCAACTTACAAAGCAAGCAAGCAAGCAAGCAAGCAAAGGAAAAAGGTGGCCACATTTTAGAAAGCAAGAGCAGCAAAAGTCAAAATAGCAGTGGCAGGAAATGTGGCCGTGGATAGAAACAAGTGATTTGGTCAGTATAACAAGAGCAACAAATTAAATAGTAGTTAGTAAATAACAGAAGGAGACAAACACTGTTTTTGCCAACCTGAGTTGCCGGTACTCAACAGAAAGTTGGAGGCTTTGATTTGATGTGAATACTGGGCTTGTCCATGGTAAGGAGCAGGCAACTCATCCGTGTCTCCGCTTGTGTTGTGGCTCAAGACGCAAGTGGTGATGATACTGGGTGTGGTAGCACCCCCTGACATGGAAATAAAACAGTAGCATGCTATGGTGTGTGTGAGGCCAACACTGGAAAGCAACATGCAAGAACTCACTGGAAGGGTTGCACGTAGAATGGATGATGACATAGCAGCCATATCCATGTAGGTTTTTGTCTTACTCTGAATCACGGACGGCAGCAACAGTTCTTCAAAGCCCCATGATCAAATGAATAGAAATTCTTGCCAGCAATGGTAGTCACAGATTTTACAACATAATATGGTAACAAACTGGCATGTAATCATGGCGAGTGCTGCATGCAAATTATACTGCAGCTTCTGAAATACTGTTATAGTTTTTGGCAGTAGTAAACACTTTATAGCAGACCAACCAAGGAAACTATTTAATTGTTTTACTTGATAATATCCTAAATTTGCTACATATTGGCATAGGGTACCGATCTTTGTCTAATGATTTACTCAAATCTAATTTCTTTAAAAAAAAACCCTAAGTTACCTTTTAAAGTTACAATATTTTTGATAGCTTAACAATAATATTATTTTCAAATATATTAAATATAAAATAAAAAAAAAACAAAAAAAACTGACAATTTTTCTCAAAACTCAAGTAATCTGGGAGTTCAAAATTTGAAATTTATGATACTATTATATTTCAAACTAAACAGTTAAACAAAGTAAATCAACTTAACCCTTTAAAAAGGCCAAGCACCCAATGCACCATTACATTTTAACATGCTTACAGTCAGGGGGTGCTTGAATGTGCCTGCAATCAGGTAGCACTGTATTTCAATATAAAGAGTTAACACCCATCCCATGATCAACTAGAAGTGCTGGACAGGAAATCTATGGCTTTTTGAAATGTTATTTCCAAAAGCATATCACATAACCAGTAATAATACCAAGGAGGCAAAATTTGGTATCATTTGAAAGGGAAATTAACTTACTTTCATATAAAAATCAACTTGCAATACTTTATTTTCAACAGATTTTGGGATATGTCAATCTAATTGCATTAACATCACAGTCAGAATTTTCAACAATTCAGTCAGGACTCCAGGGATTTTAAAATTTCTTTTAAGGGTTGATAGGGTCAATTAAAAATTATGCCAAATTAATTTCAAAGAAATGCTAAAGTGCAAAGTGATTGAGGAACTTGCAGTAGAAACAATTGCATTTATCATGCAGAATATGTAACAAATTCTTAGTGGAGGGGCTGTAATGGATTTAAGAAACACATTTTAAAATAATTTCTTATGTCATTGTTTATTGTAAAATGATAAAATCTACCAGAAATAAGAAATCTGCTAGTCTTATCAAGTTTGTATGAAATTCTGAGATTTGAAGCATTCTGGTTTCTTCATGTTTATTGTCCATCCATTCAGCAGTCCTTATCAAACATACATCACCATCAAGGTTGTTAAACTCTTCCCTGATCAGAAAGATTGATCGATTTGTTTTCTACAGCTTATCAACTCTTTGCAAGTTATTTAAAAGTCAGAAAATATTTTTAGATTGTAAGATTGTTTCTTTTGGTGGTGGTGGTGGTGTGTGGGGGGGGGTTAATGGTTTCATAATACAAGTCTTACTAATTAACCCATAGCTGGGAGGAAGAAGACAAATTCATATCTTTTTCAAGGGTATTTACACATAATGAACCCAGTGGGAATTGAAACTGCTCGCCAATTAACAGTTCCAATCAATTATCCACTACCCCACCTGCACATTCAAGCTTGCAGAACCTGGTATTCCCATGTGGTCACCCATCTAGGTACTAACCAGGCTCGAGGTTGCTTAACTTTGGTGATCATATGGGAACCAGTGTTTCAACGAGATGCAGCCATAAGCCCAGATGAAGAAAAAAAAGGGATGTTCTAATGTCCAGTTTTATTTTATTACAAGCACATTGTTCTTCTATTATAACCTAGAATGGTCAAAGAATGCTACTTTTATGGATACATCATGATCCTTCTTGGAAGACTCGGTATTCTCTCTCCAACAGAGATGCCGCTTTCCTTCTCGTATCTAACAGGAATCACGTATTACCCAAGTAGCCAGTTTAGTAACAGAAATCACAACACAGTTTCTACCAGTATTCCCATTCACTTTCTACAGATAAAAACTCAGTCCCATTGTGTATGGTTTAGATTTAAGTGGAATGATATATTGGAGTAAAAAGAATATACAAATTATTACACACATTCATAAGTGTCATAGAACAAAGAAACATTTTTTAATTTTTCAGATTAGGGATTATTATTATTATTACAACTATAAACTGATTTTTTTTTTCATACTAGTGTTCTCACCTTAGACATCATCATCACAATGTTTCAGCCATTGTATCCTCCAAACTTCAATAATATTCATTCTGCTAAAAGTGATAACTGGTATCAGTTAATTCGTCCTTTTGATGTTGCTCATCTCTTTCAGTGAATCAGAGCATATGGTGTTTTTCCACTATCTAACCCAGGTAGTGGAAAAAACCCAGGTAGCTACCAAGTAATTCAATTTGCTTAATCAATGATTTTGTCTTGTACGACATTTTGGCAGTGTAAACTTCAAGGTTTCAGGCTTGAATAAAACTTAATGTGAAATCCCTAAAAGTTTAACTTTGACAAACACCCAAAGAAGGTAAAAAAAAATACAATGGTTGAAACATTGTAATGAACACTAGTCAGTAAATTAGTTTATAACAAAAGAAAAGGTCTTTTATATTAACATATTGATGTAATTTAAATATTAATCTAAGCCTTAGAAAAGGTTTGGAAATGTTTGCCCACAAAAAAAATGGAGTTTCAAAAGAATGTTCTTTTTTTTTTTGTTGATAGCACTATTAATATACCAAGAATGCCTTGAAAATTTTTATTTAAAAGATTACAAAAATATGCAAACCAAGTACAATGTGATATTTAATTATTTCTCATATTATATAGAGAAATTTGAAGAATCTTTTTATTGAAAAATTTATAAAAATCTACAAAATTTTCCAAATATGTGAACTACAATACAATATTATTTACCCTTTTATAAATAAATATGAAAACAATTATTTTTTTTTATATAATTTTATAAAAATATCTATGAACTACAGAACAAGAAAACTGAAATAAACATGATTTTTCCAAACACTATACATTCTCTTCTCAAATTATTTTATATCTCAGATTACTTTTTGTTTTAATTTTACATTTTTTTTTATAATTGTGATCTAGGATCAAGGATGCCTAATCAATAGAAATACCAAAGTCTGAAACTCCAATAATTGTAGGTCACCCCCACACCCTGGCTACACATTTTTTGAAAAACAATTTTGAAATGTTTTCAATTGTTGCTAATTTTTATGAAAATACCTAGAAAATCTGCCAATAGATTATTTATTGTCAGTCAAGTGCTGACTGATGAAGAAATCTTAAATGAAGAGCAATAGATTTAAACTTTATAAAATGTTAAGCATTTTATTATAGTTGGTTCACATATTTTTATAACTTAATAAATTTTTATAAATTTATGAATAAAAAATTTAATATGTACTTCTTTATAAATTGGCAAATAATAAACATTGTACTAGTTGGTTAGCATTTTTAGAATGTTGTAAATATTCTTGTAAATAATCTAATAGTGTATATTTTTTGTCCGAAATTCTCAAGAGCAAAGAAAATGTATAAATTCATTTTCACATGTTTGGATTTTATTAAAATTCTAATCATTTCTTTAAAAAAAACAAAAAAAAAAACAAACAAACATTGCTAAAGAGTAAAGGCAAATAATAGTGGTGTCAAAAGAAAAACAGTCCTCTTGACACACCATTTTTTGTGCAGAAACAAAGGTTAAATTTTGCCAAAGTTTATAAAATTTAATATAAATTCAAAGATTTTTTTTATTATATTGACATTTTGAATGTAAATGTCTTCAATTACTCTAGTCTAAAAAGTTTTTAAAAGTATCTTTTCAGAGAACCAATTGTTGTAAAGAGACTAAAATTTTGTATAGATTCTCATGAATCAAAGGGGGAATATTTAAATGACATTCAAAAAAATTATAAACATGCAAGACAATTGCATGACTAACAGAAAACATCCTATTGAACCATGCAAAGCAACAATGACTGTACAATGAGAACAGTTTCTTGTTACTGCTGAGAATTAGCATAAAAAAAAACAGTTTCAAAATAACAGCTAGTATAAATAAGGTTTCAGAATTTGTTCAGTTCAAAGTACCATTTGTTTTCTTCTTTAATCAGTTTTTATTGCATTCATTTCAAATCCATAACACTAACATTCAGATTGGAAGAGAAGCGTATATACGTGGCAGAAAATAGACATTGAAGAGAAATGAAAGTGTTCAATGTCTCCTGGCAGAGACAATATATTCCCAACAGTCTCTTCTAGTCTGCCACTACTTCAAGTTTCATGCGTATCATAATCCACAATCTTCAGGCAGCTAATATTATTTGCTGCTGTGCCAGTTTTATATACCCACCATGGTGAACCAAAAATATAAAAGCTTTGAGGAGTCAAACTCACCATGGTGAGTACAGAAATGCAGATAGGTGACAGTCTGAAGCATTACACAGAGACAAAAAAAAAAAAAAAACCTGAAGATTGTGACAACAGTACACATGAGACCTTATTAAAGATATATATATATATATATATATATATATATATATATATATATATATATATGAGAGAGTGAGATATGTAGATGTGTGTGTGTGTGTGTGTGTATTTATTACTTCAAATGTTATTTTTAGTGGATACCTACAACTGAGTATATGCTCCTTTTTGTTTCTCTTAAAAAACAGGGGTTACTTCATCTATGGGTCTGCACACGCAAGAAGACAAAGAAAATATGCCCTCTGGCAGAATTGGAAACTGTATCCCCCTTTGCAGGAGAAACCACAATCTGAGCTAGTGTGCTTTGACCACTTTGCTACGGAGAGCTTCACAATCAAGTAGGGTTCTATTTGACTTAAAAAAAATTCACTTCAGATTTTCTCCCAAGTCATATCTGCTCAGTTTCATATCCAAAATGTAAACAAAGCAATTTCTCAACAATTAATGGATTTGATTTTTTACTCTGACATTTTAAATTACTTCAAATTCTATTTTTAGTGGACATCAATATTTGAGTAGACACATTTTCTTTTTTAAACAGTGTTTGTTTTGTCTACCGACCTACAAACTTGATTTCATTATATATATATTATCTATTCTAAAATTATAACAAATATGTTATAAAATGACTACAAAAATAGCCATTTTGTTTCAACATTTCTGGTGTCTTATCAAGTGATGGTGTTGAATGTAGAATAAAGGGTTTTAAAAGGTTCAAATCAATCAAACATCCCTCGCTAGGGGAAACGCTGTTACGTAAGCTGGAATGACCAATCAAAATACAAGTATATGAGAATTCAAAAAAAAAAAAAAATGACAACGGACTTAGGTTATAATAATTATTTAATGCTTTAATGTTGGGGTTAGACTAAAATAGAATTCATTCTAACTAATTAATATTAAATTATACCATAAAATTTAAAAAAAAATTTCCAATTTTAAATTTTATTCTACATTCAACACCATCACTTGATAAGACACCAGAAGTGTTGAAACAAAATGGCTATTTTTGTAGTGATTTTATAACATATTTGTTATAATTTTCAAATAAATAATTATATTTGCTCTACTCTGTATTGAGCACTCTTAAGAATAGTATTTGTTAGTTATTGGAATTTATTCTGTATAAACCAATCTTATATATATATATATATATATATATATATATATATGTGTGTGTGTGTAAAATTTCAGATATAAATAAAATATATCTGCCAAAGGATGATATGAATAAAGACAAAAGGAAAACTTATCTTAGCCAATACATTTTGTCCTCCTGTTATTTAAAATATACATAAAATTTATCCCATACTAAAATGATTTAAATATCAATTGCATAAAAAACAAAAAAAAAAAAAATTTTAATATCATTGACTCACTTTCGTTTATTAGACATCCTCCATAATTTATCCAGAAATTTCAGTTAACCTGATGAATATTTATGAGAGTCTCTTAATTTTTAAATATTGAAAAAAAAAAAAAAAAAAAAAATTTTTACTCTTGTTTATAAATACTTGTTACAAAATAAAATCCTTAAATTTGCCTTGATAAAGTCTATCAGAGGACAATAGCCAGCCCACCGTGACTAAGATGTTTTCTTTTTGTCTTTATTTTCTCTCTCACACACACACACACACAATTCATACAATAAGAGGTTTTGTCTTGAACAAGTCAATAGTAAAAGTTATGTACCAAATTCATAGCAAAAGATTTTCAAATGAATCTCAACTAATTTATTGCCAGCAATTTAATTCAATTAAGTATGAATTTGATTTGATTAAATATAAAGTTGCATTAAAGCCATTTAACATTTCCTTTGCTGTGCCGCTTTCCCATAAAATGAATGCATTAAAATTAATGTGTTTAATTAACTTTTGCCCCGAGGGCTCAAGATTAAAGTCATCCCATCATCCCTGGGGACAACAAGACATTCGTTTGAGATGACTGGTTAAGTTTTTTTTTGGACAATGTCAATATGGTACATTTTTTTTTAGTTAAAATTTTATGATTATTTATTTTAAAAGTAATTAATTTCTGAAAATAAAAAATTGTCTTATTTTTCACCAATATTGACTGGCCTAAATAAAAAGATCATTCATGCATACACAAAAAAAGGAAGAATTTAAATTTATATCTTTATATTATCTCTAAATGTTAAAATGCATTGGATCAAATTGTTAAGAATGAACTTTGATTTAATAGACAAAAAAAAAAAAAAAAAAAAAAAAATTCTTGAATGAACCATTAAACATTTGAGTTGTTTTTTTTTTTTCTAATAAACTAAACTGAAAATACAAGGGAGAATTTTAAAAAATGATAAGCAAGAATGGAAAATTTAGCCACAATGACAGGCAGGGAATTGGAAATGAAAAGTTTTTGCACAGACTTTCAAAATTTTATTGATTGTGAATAGTTGGAATGTGCTAATATTTTTCATACAGAAATTGAATGCATCGAGAACTTTTTTTTTATGATAAAAGTTACTCTGGATTTGAAAAGAACTTTTCTGTGTAAAAATTATTCAAGATGATTAAACCAAAATATTTAAATAAAATTGTGATGTTTTCAGTATAATTTAATTTGTTTTTGTATTTATTTTTAGAACTTTATATTTTTTTAAGTTTTGTTACAACCTGAACTACTTGCATTAGTGGCTCACAAGACAGAGATACCAATTTAAAGATTGAATTAATTAAAATAAATATTTACTTTCTCAGTATTTTAATTATGCTTTTATGCCACTAACAACTATAAATGATAAAGTTAAAAATTAAAAAAAAAATTGATTTTGGAAAGTTTTAAAACCTTTTTCAGGGTGGTTCTGGGATGATGATGATGATGAAAGAAGTTAACTTGGTGCTCCTGAACTGAACAGATCCCAAGTTTTCATTCCTTGGTATTAGTCCTTTCCAGGCACTTGATATTTTATAGAGAAACATTGCTTACACTGAAACTTCAAAGAGAATTTCCAACTTGCAACATTTTGCAAAAGTTTTGTTTTTGTTAAATTAATTTTTACCAATTAAAGCTCAATTTCAAAGGAGCTGTAACATGTGTGACCTGGTATAAGAAAAGCAAATGCACAATTATTACAATTTGAAATTTAATTCATTGATTACACCATGAAAAATTATCAGGGAATATATCTTTGAGTTTAAGCAAAACAAAAGAGGTACAAAACTGTATTATGAAAATGCCAAAAATGAAATATATAATGATGATAATTATTAATGAAAAAAGAAAAGAAAGCTTGTGAAATGGTCACTTTTTAGTTTTAAAAGGACATGTTCTCAATGCACCATCCAATAACAATTTCAAAAGGAAAAAGCAGAGAAAATTGCCCCAGGCTAAGTTTTTTTTTTTCTACTTCTTTTCTGAAACAAAAGAAAAAGGGGGAAACAAAACCAATTTTGTTGCAAATGGAATGCCTCAAATTTGAAAAAAAGAAAACAAAAACCAAAAACAAGATAAAAAAAAAAAAAAAAAAAAAAAAAAAAGAAAGAAAGAAACATGATGTCAACATACCTTGCAAATAGTTTCCTGCTGGTGATGCGTGTTCCATGCCAGGAGGAGTTGGTCCAGGACTATTTCGGAACTGAGGATCTGGTCCTCTAGGCGGAGGGCCAATACCTCCCATGCCTGTGCCTGGCATTGGAGGTCGAGGACTTTTGTTCATAGGAGGAGGCCCGACACCAATTGTACCCCCAGGGGGTGGAGCTCTTACATTATACATTTGTTGCTGCTGTGAAGCAGGTGGTGGTGGCTGTTGCTGGGATGGGGGTGGTGGTAGTTGTTGCTGCATTTGTAGTGGTGGCTGATGCTGCATCTGTGCAGGTGAGTGTGGCTGCTGCCTCATGCTTGTCAGGAGAGGGCCTTGAGGTGTTCCCATAGCAGAAGTAGTCGTATTAGCATAAAGTGTGACAGATTGAGGAGGCATACTGCTTGGCCCATTGAGTAGAGGTGGTGATGACACTGACAAAGGAGGAGGACCAACAGAAAGAGGTGGACCAACAGAAAGGGGTGGAGGAGGACCAACAGAAAGAGGAGGAGCAAACATTCTAAGGCCGCCAGGTGACCCCTGCTGTAATGGAGACTGAATGGATTGATTTAAAGTGGGAGTGTTATTTAATTGCCCCACTGAGTTTCTAGGGGGTCCACCTCCCATTGGAGGAGCTATGGTCATAGAAGATGGCCCTGATGGTGGTGCATTAATTCCATTAAAGTTATTTGACAGCTGTTGATGTTGAACCTGTGAAGAACCCCATTGTTGTGACTGCATGGGTGGTGGAGGTTGGGAACCACCAGGTGCTGGTACCCTTGATTGGAAATGTGGGGGAGGTGCATTAGGAGGTTGACCAAATGATCCCGGGGGTGGAGCACCCTTCATAGCCATTGGAGGAGCTGACATCATAACAGGAGAATCTGAAATGAAACAAGACAGAAATTAAGATTGCTTCCATATTGAAAATAAGAAGCCGACTACATGAATTTTTAATCAAATCTTTAAATGATAATCAGTCAAAGTTCTGAAATCTGAAAAACATCCAAATACTAAATTTTATGTAAAAGTATAATAATAATAATAATAATAAAGCAACTGAAAAAATATATGTGAGAATTTAACATTTTTCGAGCTAGCGGAACTTCTGCCAAAAAGCACTCAATGCATAACTAGAGCTATAATAAACATCTGACCCTGATGAGCATATGAATCACTTTTTTTCTTGATATACTGAATACATAAAACTATAAGTTGCCAGTGTTATAATAGGAAAAATATTAACTTATATATCAATATTTTCCTTATAAAAAAAAAAAAAAGCTTTATACTTTTCATTGTTGACACAATGTTTTAAATCAATGTGTAAGAAAGACAAAACTGAAGTTCAATAATTCTAAAATATTATTGTCAACAAGAGGAAATTGCTTAAAGATATACATGTGTTTTCTTTGAAGTCATTGAATAATAAAGTTTATTTTGGCCATTAAAAAAAATTACTGGAAATGTTTCCCCTTCAGCTTTACACCTGAAAAATAATTTGCTTTTGTGAAATTTAAATACTTTATCTTATTTTTTTTTATATTTAAATCAGGAATATTAACATAAAAAAGTTACTTGGTTAATTGACCAAATTAGAAATCTGGTCTGATTTTAGGAGATGATATAAATTTTCAACCCAACCATGAAAAGATCCAAAAAAGAAAAATCTGATGTTTCATCAGTTGGTCATTTTCAACGTTTCAGTACCCCCTCATATAATCAGAATAAATTTCTCTATAATTGTAAAGAACTGGGATAATTTTCCAGCCCATAGGAACCTAAAACCAAATTTGTAATGGCAATGCTATGAGAAACACGATAAATGTTATGCAGTCAGATCTACAAAGCGGGTAATCAAAAATTGGAAAAGGAGTAGGCATTTTGTGTATGCCTATTTTCATATGCAACAGAGATTATCAAAGATATCTCAATACAAATTATTTCTCTTGTAAAACTAAGATTAGCAGCAGCAACTAGAGTTCATGAGAGAAGGAATTTACAATAACACAATATAACCTTTTGCAAGTTAGTTAAAACTGGAAAATGTCTTTAGACTGCAAGAATGTGAGGGGGGAGGAGGGGTAGTGATAAAGGTCTTATTAATTAACCGATAACTAGTGAGAGTAAAGGTGCATTCATATCTTTCCCAAGGATATTTGCACATAAGTGAATATAACAAACCAAACTGGAATTGGAACTCAGCTCTCCAATTAATAATTCTGGAACATTATCCATAACACCACTCACACATCCAAGTTTACAGCACCTGGTATTCCCAAGCAGTCACCCATTTAGGTACTGACCAGGCTTGATGTTGCTTAACTTTGGTGATTGTATAGGAGCTGATGCTTCAACATGAAGTGCCTATAAGCATAATAGCTTAATAGACATATTTTGGGTGTCTGTACAGATACGCTTGAGCACCATGAGGGGGGGGGCAACTTTCATTAGATTAACAGATTATGTTTCTTTGCTTTTCAACACCTGTAAAGGACAGTTTTTGTTTTTTTTTTCGTCTGCTCATCTATATATTATTCCAAGTTCTCATTGGACATTTCAAAAACAGTAAACTTGAATAATGAAAGAAAATTAAAAGTTCAGCATGCCCTGACAACATTTTCTGCTTGTATAATCAGTTGTACGAAAGGAGGAAAAAAAAGAAAAAAAAAAAAAAAGTTTCATGTTTACAAAGAAGAACAGAACAAGGAGGAGAAAGAAGATGAGGAGGAGAAAAAGAAAAGGAGGAAAAGAAAAGGAGGAAAAGAAAAAAATAATTAGAAGAAAGACTTCTGTCACAAATAAAAAACAAAGAGCAAAAGTCCAAGTTTATGAACAAGAATTTTTGTTTTGTGATTTTCATTCATTTCAACTCTTGTTTTACAAAAATAAATTGTAATAACAGTTTATGTCTATTCTCAATAATTTAGGTAATTAAATCCTATAATCCATAACATGGATTACATTTATACTGGATGTAATTCTCTCTATACCATAAAATGTTTAGTTTCATAGTTTAACCCATAGAAACTTAGAGGAGTGATAAGTTTCTTCATTTCTCTACAAACTTTTACCAATTAATAGAAAAGGAAGAAAAAAAAATCCATGCACTTCATATTCTACATATGTAAAAACAAATCTATAACATCTAAGCCAAAGCATTGCAATACAGACAGTTGTCCCCACAACGTATGAACAAAGTAGATAAGGATTAAAAGAGATTTTAAAAACACGCCTTTTTTTTTTTCTACCATCACTGATAGTTTACAGAGAAAAGAAATATTTTAAGAGGATTCGTTAAGTATTTCCTGAAGCAGAAAGGCAACAACAACAAATATTGATTACATTATTCTCTTTAAGTGAGGTAAAAATGAAAAGTTTACAAAAACAAAACTATATCAATAACATAAATATATTCTAACCAAGAAATTTAAATAAGCCGACATCAATAAAAGTATGTGCACATAGCATTGGCAGTTAGATTAGTATATTGAGTTCAAATTCCAGCCAACGCTGCTGCTTTCACCTTTTCAGAAATAACTTTGGAAAGGTATGAAGCTATCTTAATAGCAGGGCAGACTGAGCTTTCTAGCCTTGGTTGGTAACCAGTCTAAGAAAAGAACAACTCTTAATCCAAAATCATTTGGATGTGGGCAACTCCATTGTATAAAAACCTATTTGCTATGTGAACTATAAAGAGGGATGCTGTGGCTCTATACTCCGCATGGGGAGTCTACAGGGTGAACATATATCAATAAAGAAAAGGAGAGAAAAAAAAACTTCCCAACATATGAATGTAGTAAAAGAATAATTATTAGAAACCATCAAGAAAGGAAAAATTCACAGGATGAATGTATATTATGACTGCAATTCAATAGAAGCTTAGCTATGGCACAAGGCTGACTGTATGGGAGCATCCAATGAAGAGTGAACTCACTACTCAGTCATAATTGATCAAGCAAGACAAACTTGCAACCACTGCATCACGTCAAAGTGTAATAGATGTGGTACAAGGCCGTGACAAAGGAGCCCCCAGTGAGGATCAAACTTGCAACTCATTCATAAGTGAAATAAGATTGCGCACCATTATACCATGTCGAAATTCCCAAGGAGCTTTAAATGTAATTTACTAAATGTAGCTTAAAGGTAGCACAAGGCCGTGATAAAAGAGCACCTAGTGTGAATCCAACTCACAACTGAAATGTAAGTGATTGAACAAGGCAAGTGCAATAACCATTACACAATGCTGAACTATAATTCAATATTTTTTTTTCATATAACATTCCTTATATGGATATTATTAAGAGAATCTATTTTTGTGAATGAAACTTCTCCAAGTTCTCGGTCATTTGATGTGGTTAGATGACCTTACAAGTGGAGCTCTTATCTGGTTATTCATATTCATTGGTTGGCACTAGAATTAAGTCAGCTGAATGGAAAAATAAGTTGTTACCGAAATCTGATTCAGTGCAGTCCGTTTACTACCCTTCACTGACCTGACTAAAATTATAAAACCTTTTTTTATTACTATTTTGTTACTGTTGGTTTTCTGTTGATTCCCTTTAAATATCTTTATCTTAATTCTTTTGTCACACATGTAACAATATGAAATCATTTACATGTGGTCCATTTTATAACTTTGGGAGAATAAATATTATACTGTCTATAAAACTAAGACTATTTGAAATGAAAACTAAAAGATTTCTTACTTAAAAGTCAGTCGCTATATATTGGCATAAGATTGAAATCTCTATATAAAAGTAGTACAATATTAAAGTCCACTCTTGCCCACAGGAAATCTATATCTCCAGTCCTACAAAGATGACAATGTCAAAAATGATATTACAATATGCCAATGTAGGAATTCTTTTAAAAAATAATCAGATAAAATATATTGGAAGGTGAGAATGTCTTATGTTTGCTTTCCAAACAAACCACAAAAACCTCAAATCCCTATTCAAGCAGACCATTGCTGGAAACAAATCACTTGGACAGAGAAAGGTTTGACCAATACTAATTTACTATACTTTTCACAAATACTTTTAGGAAAATTAAAAGCCTACATCAATATACAAGGGTGGGCTGAAAAGTTCATAGGCTGACTATGAAGGAGTGATGCTAGACCTGTGAAATCTTGCAGGCATTAATTTCAAATTTTTCTGCATTATTTCTTTCCAGATAAACTGACATCTGTCCATTCTGTTGGTCAAAAATGTCATCAACAGCAGATATCACCTAGTCAAGTATTTTTTCATGTTGGGAAACAAATGATAGTCAAATCAGGAGAATAGGAAGGATAATCAACCAGTTCAAAGCCAAAGCCATGCACAGTAGACATTAAAACCAAGGACATATGCTGGAGCATTGCCCTGATGAAACATGACACCTTTCATCAGTTTTCCTGTCTGTTTGAACAAGATAGCCTTTCATAACTGTCTCAGCAAGTTGGCCTCATACTCTCCATTAATGGTGAGGCTCTTTTGAAGATAGTCAATGAACACAATTCCTTTTGCATCCCAAAAAAAAAAAAAAAACAGAGGCCATCACCTTCCCTGCAGAGAAAACAAACTTGGTTCCTTCTTTGGAGCAGGTGAGGAGAATCTGTATAGATTGTCCTTTTCGCTCAAAGTGATGAACCCAACACTCATCCTGGGTTTGGAAATGTTCAAACTAGTTGAATCTGCCTCAAACAATGTCAGATTTCCCCAATGATGTGATCAGTCTGGTACACTTTTGATCAAGTGTCAGAAGACATGACACCCACTGAGCAGAAACCTTCATCATGCCAAGTTCACTGTGCAGAAAATTCTCAACTCTTTCACAGGATATGCTATTAGCATTGGTTATTTGATTTCTAGTCAATCGTCTGTCATCCATCATCATGTGGTGAACACAATATTTTCCTCAGTGGTGGCAGTTGCAGGACGTCCAGACCTTTGGGTTATCTTCAAGATCCTCTCAACCCTCCTATATTCAGCTGTCCAGTTTTGCACTGTTGAAAAAGCTGGGGAGTCATCCCCTAATGTAGCCACCCTGTCAGCATGAATGTCCCTGGGAGTTAAATCCCTTTTTCTGTATGATGTCAAATAGTGTCCATTTTAAACAGAAGTTGTTACTAGTTACTTTTGAAGTTTTCTTTTCAGTCAGTTTACCTAGAAAGAAACAATGCAGAAGAGCTAAAATTAATGCCTGCAAGATTTCTCAGCTCTCGTATCACTCCTTCATAGTCAGCCTATGAACTTTTCAGCCCACCCTCATAACTACAAATAAAAGAAAAACATACCTTATCAAATGAAGCATGAAGATAAATTTATTTAAAAGAATTTACAAGTGACTTTGGGGTGTTTTTTTGAGATTTGTGGCTTCAAATTCCTCAATTTTTTTTTTTTTTATCTTAATTCAACAAATATTTTATTCTCAGTTTCCTTCATTCCCAGTAACCCCTAGCATCGTAGTGGCTTTATCATCTCACTTGGAATGAAATGATTAAAACAAAATCAGAAACAGAAAAGAATTATTCAAGTAAAAATTGAGCAAGAATAGAAATTAATTTCTAAGACACAAAATCAAGATATTTTCAACAAATAACAAAGAAAAAAAATACTTATAAACAGATTAAATTTTCAAAAATTGTGAACTTTTACCCAAGGTATTATGTAAGAAATGAAATAAAAAATGATAAAATATTCAATATTCAGTTACTAAAAAAAAAAAAACAACTATCTTCGTACTATTGATTTCACAGTTCATTTTGTGACCACCAAAAAATAATTGTGCTTAAAGACCTACCAACAAAGCTGACAAACTTTGACCTCTGACAAGTTTCTGCATTTGGGTCATATATCAATTCTATCAAATTTAGTTCTAAAACCTAAAACATTTCACAGTCAAACACTAAAATCAACAATTTTCAGAGATAAGTAATTTTTCAGTTTTAGGTCAAGAATGACGTGTAACAGACAAGATATATCATTTAAGCAAAAATAGATAAAATAAACTGATGATAAATCCTGTAAAAACAGAATAACAATTCAAATAGAAAAAAATATCCAAATACATTTGCTTTTAGCAGAGTCAATAAAGCATCATGGAAAGCTTTTTGGTGAAAATAAAAAAAAAAAATATTAACTGTCTTAAAAGATTTGCTTCAACTATGCATTTAGTAACTAATGTAGATGAAAATCTCAAATAGGTTAAGTTTAATCATTTCTTTCTGGATTTCTCGGATGAGGAGTATAATTGCATACAGGGTAATGTCCTTGTATCTTTGCTATCATTATCCCAATGTTTTACCTGTAATTCATTTATTTAGTGACATATCAATTCCTCATGGGTTATTTAATGCCAAAATTTAATTT